TTATTTTTGCGTATCCTATCCCCTTACAGGACATTAATATCCGTATAGATAACCTCAGGTCAAAGTTAATCTCGGTCACTCGTCCCCACCCGCTACTGAGACCACGCCCAGAAACGAACCAAGTCCGCTCTCCCACCCAATCGCATAGCGAAACTGAATTAGAGTGATCTACTTGTTTGATTGCACCTTTGTATGTATTTCAGTTAACTTCTATAATATAATTTTTAGAACAAATGTATGGATTTTTAAAATGACGATAAGTTGGTATTATTTTAGGATCAGTGTCAAATATTATAATTTCTTGAAAATTCTTTTATTTCAGTGTTATCCATTTCATTTTAAAGTTGGAAATAAATGGAGAAGGAAGACTATCATTAATAATAATTGCAGCTTTTACAAAATTACGTTTCTTACTATCAATTTTATCATCAAGTTTATGCGCTAGGACATTCTCGTAAGCTTAGTTATAAAGAGTTAAAAATCTTCAGCTTTTTCTTACAACGTCAATTACTTGGTTCGTGAGTTCTCTTATCGCTTGTCTACAAGCTCTATCGCAAAGATTTACAGGTAGTGGGAAGTCCGGCACGAAGGACCAAGATTGTTATATTTTTATATTCCATAAGGAAATTATTAATAATAAAGAAATATTCGTATCCAATTAAGTTTTACAAAATTACACTGTAAGAAAAAAATTATCATCATTATATGTTTTCATTACTTAAAATAATCACTTTAATTTAAAACAAATAAACCAATAAGTATTCTTGGATTTTATATCATAAAATCTGCAAACAAAGCCTAGAAATAGAAATAAAAGTAGCCAGACAAGTATTTATTGTGCAGGCAAGAGCTATAAGCCGCGGCGCTCGGCGTGATGAAGTATGGTCAAGGCTCGGGCTACCGGGCGTTACGTTTAATGCATTCTCTTTATCTCTAGAAATATGATGTGCTATTACTGTTAAATTATTTCTCTTAAGCTTCATCGTTTCTCATTTCATTTACGTCGTTAGAACTTAGTTTATCGAAAGGATTATTTAATATGGCCTTTCTATTTATGGTTCTAAAGTTTAATAGTCTTATTTTAAGGTTTGAAGTTTGTATTTTCTTACACATTCACACACACACATTTTTAAATTAAATTACTAGATCACAGAGGATGAATAAAAAATATTATTTTATTAATAAATTATTATAGTCCAATGTTATTTTAAAATAAGACCTCATATACATACATACTTCTTATTGTTAATTAAATGTCAATAATTTGTGTGTATTATTTATAATGTAATAGATACATAATATTTTGCTTTGAAAAATCGAATCTGTGACTTCCTGCGCAATAAGGATAAACAGTCAGACGTGACTTCACATAGCAGCGTACTATGTTGTCAATTAATTAACAGTATTTACACTACAGCACAGTTATACTGCAATTTATGTCATGCTTTTCATACTTTTCCATATTTAAGTATGGGAATTTCACCCATTTCGTCTTTTTGCATTCATCTAAGCAGGAAACATTATGATCTTGCACAAATGAGTGCATCATTCCAATTACGGTGTGTAACTGTTAGTCCATATGTGATGTCAAACCTAATGAAGACAGGAAGGACTGGTTGAAACCCTCTTAGAAAAAACTCTGATAATTAGAGGAAAACCGTTCGTCTCTTCTCATTAACGGTGCTTCTTTACTAGTATTTATAGAGTTATGCTTTTGCTTCAAACACATGCAGAAGACCTACGTTTAATACCTTTGTGTATGTAATTTTTTGTTTCGAAATAGTCTTAATAGAAATACTGTTATCCAATCCATCATTCATGACTTCATCGTGACAGTGTATATTGGATTTCATGAGGAATAAATTTTCAAACGAATTACCTTCTTTGATAGAATAAGTTATTGTCACGAATCGTAATTGAATCTAGAACCCTTCACTATTTCCAGACTTCAACGCTAAATATATTTAATTTCTCTAAAAATGAAATTTTAACAGAAATAACGTATCAACTCGATGAAGCACAAAGATAGAGAATTACATGCGTATGCGCAGGCTTCGCGACGCATCTGATAACCGGCGACATACCTCACTCGATTCTAAGAACAATTCAAATATTAGCCACGTGATTCCTTTTGTTCACGATTCTAGCAAGTGCTTAATTAACTTTTTCAACAATATAATTTCGTAATATAAATTATACTATTTTAAAACTACGAAAAGATATATAATAAAAAAATATTTATTTTAAATTTAGTGAAGTCATTAATAAAAGACAATCACTTATTGTTTTGAACAATAGTTGACATTGATAAACAAGTAGAAATCTTGTACACCGGTACTGCACCTAATTTGTCTTTTAAAGTTCACGAGCGTTACAGAATATCGAATATCCGAACAGTTACACGCAACGCTATTTATTTATTGCAAGCTCGCCGCGCCGCTCTCAGCGACACGAGATCTAGTGTCTGCTCAAATAAAATATTGCCTTATACCTCCACCCTAACTCGTTGCTTCAACGCACAAACATTGTCTAATTTATCATCTCATTCCTAGTTCCTATGTTCTTTGCTCTCGCTTTTTCGCCGTAATTAGATCATCGATAGCGCTACAATTTATGGCGCACCATAATGAAGATTTAGCTTTCCAGCATTCTTCGATTAAGCAAATGCCAGTTATTGTTGAAAACCGCAAGTAGCTGGTGCTCTTTTTGCGTCGTTCGTGTTATTCCATTACAGTATTGTTACAAAGTAATTAGCTGGGCACTTAAGTATTTAAGTACCTTCGTGTTTCTTACAACAATAAGTATTATATAATTGAATTTATTTGCTTTATGAATCTTTAAGCTCTGGTAATATTTACCGAGTCAAAAAAATGACGTTAACAATTGCGAAGGATATCTTTCGTGTATGGTACGCGATATTTTCACTAATTCCAACTTAGTTGATTTCTAAATAGGTCACCTGAAAGTAAGAAAATATTACATAATAATGTCTATTTGTGGTCATGAAAATTACTTACAGGGTCACATAATACTTTCTTAGATTTACGCGAATATTTGACGTTTTAAATAAAACTATCTATTCTATACTATATACTTTTACAAATGAATATAGTTATAGTGTTGCTTAGTAAATTGTCTTTTTAAACAATAGCAAACTAAATTAAAATTATTATTCTTAACTAAGGCGGCGACTTAACTAATTTTTTATTTTAATTTTTCCTTTTGTTAATTGTGGGTAGGCTGTCTTCAACAACTATATCTTCGAGACATCTATCACCTCAATCTCTCCCGTGACTATGATTGCTGTAAAGCATTCGAAACGTCGGGAACCAAAAATCAAAATAAATCCGCGAAATAATCCGAAAAGATAGTTTTATTTTAAATACTTACAGTGTGTTAAAAAAATATAATGGTAATATTACTTAGAGCTTATAGTGTATTTACATAAAGCCATAGTGCATAAAATATCAGGAGTACAACCACCCTGGTATAAGGTCAGTGCGTGGGTGTAGAGCATCGTGAGCCGCCCACGTGTACAGGTTCGGTGGTGAGGCTTGGCCTGTATGTATTTACTGGAATCTTAAATTTAAATTCACAGTATAAATAGCATATAGAAAATTTTATCTGGGAAGAATATTTCTTATTGTTAAACTTTCATACTAATATTATAAATGTGAAAGTTTGTGAGGATGGATAGATGAATGTTTGTTATTCTTTCACGCCAGAACGGCTGAACGAATTTGGATGGAATTTGGCACAGTGATAGATCATAGTCTGGAATTGCACATAGATTTTTATCCCGGAAAAATGTACGGTTCCCGTGGGATACTTTTGTTTTTGTTTAGGAATGAACCCAAAGCGAAGCGAGGGTATAAAGGGTTGTGAGCGAGGGAAGGTGTCACTAGCATACTCTATTTGAAAGTTATATTGAAAAGATAATAAAATCAATTTAATTTAAAAAATGAAACAATTCTTAATAGATGTTTATTATGTAATATTTTATTAAAGAAACATCTTATATAGTTAATTAAAGCGTGTTATTGTTTTATTATAATAAGAAAATTTAAAATAGGATTCGTATTATCAATAATGATGATGTGGGCGTGAATTTAGTGTTATGTTCTATATGATATTCGATATTATCGAGCGCTTCGCGTTCTCCAAATAATCAACATCAAACAATATTCCTAATGGCGCGTTAAATGTAGACTTTGAAATCGATTTCAATACTACGAAAATATTTGAGATAAATATGGCTCATGTCATTTGTGTATGGCCTTAAGTGATGTTTTACGGCACGTTACAATATTTTTAAGGTTCTTTTTTGCAGTATATAATAATGGTAGGTATATTTCCTTAAGTTTGTGTATTCATACAGCTGCATGTCAAAATTTGATCTATATATTTCTCACTCGATGGACAAGTGAAAAGGTGCTTTAGGAAGTATCCTTTCTCGTCTGCTGTCGAGATCAAAAATCGCATTCTCCATGATTTATTCGTCCCATGAGTTATACGTGGGACAGGATATTGTGTCAGTTTCCTTTTTGAGTTGATGAGTCCTCTATTATTTACTTCTCTTCATATTTAAATGAATATATTGTGGGTAGTATTGGAAAAATCCCACCTAAGTATTATAAAGGTGCGCTTGCGCATGTCACAGGACCGTGTCGCTACGTATCTGTGTTATTTATTGGCGTCGTCCAGCGAGGCGCAGGCACGATAGCGTTCTCAGTGGCGCGTGTTTGTACAATGTTTAGTGTATACTACAGGTAGCTAAAACTAAGACCTTTCTTAGAAGGTTTGCATGTTAAATAAAATTCTGTTAACCCATTGAAATAACGTCGTGAATAGGAATGAATATTTAAATAACGCCTTAAAAGAAATTGATAAATGCAACGTTTTGGCATACTTAATTTTTATGCAAAACTTAGTTAAACACTAAAACTATAGTGATAAAACTTTGATATAAATAAACTAATCTATTTTTTTATTTGTTCTAGCTGCACATCCCGTTACGCCGGCGAGTTCTGCCAGCATCTGAACCCTTGCCACAGTGAGTCCAGTCCTCGATGCCAAAACGGTGGGACATGTCGAGTACGCCCTGGTGCCGGAGGGGCTCCGCCCTCATTTGCTTGCGACTGCCCTCTCGGCTTCAGCGCTTCCCTCTGCGAAATAAGAGTACCAGCGGCCTGTGACTCTGCACCATGCTTAAATGGAGCAACGTGTAGGCTGACGTCATTGCACACCTATGAATGTGACTGTCCGCCTGGTTATACAGGTATTCATTGTTCAATTATTTGATGATTCATTCAGATTTCACATAGTCATGGTATAGAAAAAAACTTTATTTTGATTTCGCAAAATATATTCGAGTTGAAACAAACGCTTTACGTAATACCTACTATTGAAAATTATTCTATACAGATAAAGAAAATGAAGTTTCTGTTTGTAATGTCAAAATAACAACTTTTTAGTAAATGCATATGAAATTTTAAACGGTACTTGTAAGAAAAACAGAATTTTGAAAATTTTCGTCTGTCTGTTTGTTCCGGCTAATAACTGAAACGGCTCGATTATTTTTGACGGGACTTTCACTGGCAGGTAGCTAATGTTATAAGGCGTAACATAGGCTACTTTTATTTTAGCAAAAGAATTAGGGTTCCGCTGAATTTTCTTTACTATGAAACAAATTATCGTTTTGTGTGATTATGTTATAGAAAGAGAGTGTTCTTTTTGTATTGATTATGCAAATATAATGTGGCTTTTATCACAGGAACATAATTCAAATCTAATATAGGATCTTTTCATATCTGAATAGATTAGATGCACTTGCTTTCAAGGTGGTATATTCGCTTCTAAGAATACCAATAAATCTTTATATGACAGCATAATAGTGTTCTGCTTTGAAATATGACTGCGTTTATTAATCTTTAATATGAGATAGCTATCTGACGAATCCTTATTAGATACTCATTAGATAATTCCTATATACGGTGAATGACTGTAGCATTACAATATAGCAGGTGTTATAGTACAAGTTATGAATAAATTGCGGAACTGTTGGGATTTTAATTAGCCTTTGTGTCGTTGCAATCTCATTCAATATCTATATATGTATAATGTATATATAAAACAAAGTCGAGTTTGTTTTGATTTTTATGATATTTATGTTGTTGGATTTGTCTTCACTCCGAATAGCAGAATAACTATTAAAACATCGGAAATATTCACAAAAAAATTGAAAAATCTATTCCATACTAAGCGTCAAAACGTACCTAGGGGACGAACCTCAGCGAAGCGAGGGTGAGTCGCTAGTTACTAACGAATGTGTAGTGTATCTATACAGATAAATACAATGGAAGTGTCTGTTTGTAATATCAAAATAAAAGCTTTTAACTAAATGCATATGAAATTATGTACAGTACTTATAAAACGCACTTTTTACCATTTTTGTCTTACTATCTGTTTGTTCCGGCTACCCTCCGAAACGGTTGGACCGATTTTGAAGGGACTTTCAATAGATAGATAGCAGATAGCTGATGTTATAAGGAGTAATTTAAGTTAATTTTATTTTAGAAAAAGAATAAGAATTCCCCAAAAAAACGTACCTAGCTATGACTTTAAATACATTCATATTATAAATATAAACACCCATGATGACATTCGTGCTCATCACACAAATGAATGCCCCTAGCGGGACTTGAACCCGCGACCGCTGGCACAGCAAGTAGTAAACCTGTCATGTCTTATTTGCGTTAGTGAATTATTGTGAAATATAAAAAATATATGTACAATGTATATTGTACATACTGGTATACAATTATAAATAATTTCAGATGTAAAACTAGAACCGATAAATTTTGAAAGTTGTCTTAACTATTAGCATTTCCTTTCAATTAACCTTTTAATGTTTACTGACACAAAATCCCGTGCCCCTTATTACAATACAATAGAGTTTAAATTCGGGGTTAAATTTATTTGGTTACACGCAATTATGTTATCAAGTGGAATGATGCCGACAAGTTATCTTGTGATTGCAATTAAACATTCAGCTTTCAATTTTTAGTTGCGGTATTTAAATTTTATAAAACGCTAGTGACTTACCCACGCTTTGCTTGGATGCGTTCTGATATTTTATTCACGATTTCATGAGTTTTTATTTTTTAGCGCGGAACCCTAGATTATTTTTCTAAAATAAAAAACCAAAAGTTAGTTTTTTTGCTTATCTATACAGATAAATAAAATTGAAGTGTCTGTTTGTAATGTCAAAATAACGGCGTTTTACTAAATGCATATGAAATTATATACGGTACTTATAAAAAAACACACTTTTTTAAATTTTAGTCTGTCTGTTTGTTCCGGATAATCTCTGAAACGGCTGAACAGATTTTGACGGGACTTTCACTGGAAGATAGCTGATGTTATAAGGAGTAACATAGGCTACTTTTATTTTAGAAAAAGAATTAGGCTTCCGCTCAAAAAAATTAAAACGTGCCTAGGGACGAACCCGAGCGAAGCGAGAGTCGCTAGTTAAAGAAATAAAGATATCTAATATTGATATGGCTATTATAAAAAGTTGTTATTTAACTAATTAGGTAACAATTTATGACACAGTTGTCGGATAGGTGATTCCATAGATAAGTACTGAGTAAATTAACCGACTTGATTTTACATTAGATTTCAAAACTTGTTGCAGTTGAAGAACTGCGTTGCGAGACTTGCATTTTTTTACATGTTATGTTTTTAATGGTATATACTATTGTGTAACCTACAAAGAAGCGCTTTCATTTTTACAATACACAGAAAAAATCATGACAATTGGTACATGCAATTTAAAAGCCTTAACAAATATTACGGCGGATATAAGGAGAAAGTAAGGCAATTTACGCTTCCTTTTTAAAGTAATGATATTTTCCCACACATGATTACATTTATTGTAGATTAATCTCAGACTGAATTATATAGATGGAGCCCGCCATAATAAATGTCAAAATCAAAAATAGTAGCGTAGTATATATATATATATATATATATATATATATATATATATATATATATATTAATAAATAATTTTTGAGAATAAAATATTAATAATAAAGATAATACTATATTATTTTGTATGTAAGCATTAGTTCTCGCCTTGAAAAAAAGATTGCATAATATTAGCTTATTTTTTAAAATCAATTATTATAATAAAATCCAATAGCTATTTCGATTTATTAACACTTATTTATTTATCACTCAGTATACAAATTATCATTTGTATATAGATTAAAAAAAAATGTTTGGCTTCATGTTTACTTCTATGATACTATTACACTATAGTATTTCTTACAATTTTATTAGTCAGAGCATGTTATCAATAGATCTTATTTGATGAAACAAGTAGCTTACTCTTGCTTCGGGTGCATCCCTAGATGCATTTTATATATATAGTTTATAATATTATATACAGCAGCGCCATCTTTTGGTAAATTTTATTATTACCAACCTGTATGTTGAATTGCATTTATTCAACCCTATTTAACGTCCCACTGCTGGGCACGGGCCTCCCTTCAATATGAGTGAGATCAGGGCTTTTTTTTTTTTTTTTAACGTTGGGAAATGCATTTACGCACGACGTGTGGGACTCACCGGCGTAAACAAGCCAGTACTACCCACTAAAACCCAACAAAACCTTCCCCCGTCTTGATGGGGCGTCGCAGGATCGCTTACGCATTCAACTACGACGCCCCGACGGCAGGTCTGCCAAAGCAGACCACCACGACCATGGGGTTGCTCCAAAGTCCACTCTGCTATCAGAGAAGTACCAGGAGCAACCCGTATGGTACACCGCCCCCCGAAGAGGGCCACCTCCCACCGCCCACCGAAGTGGGCAACCTCCCTGTGCGTTTCTTGGCTTCGCGCCCGGTTGGATTGCCGGGCACTACTGAGCCCCCCCACCACGACAAGGTGAACGCACGTTGGGGGGGAGTGAGATCAGGCCTCCTGTATGTTACTCCAGGTCAAAATGTCTTTATTTTGGTCTAAATTCGTCTTCAAACAAACACACAAACAAACGTTTGCTACTATAATAGTAATATGATCGTTTTTAATTAAAAAAAAAACAATGTGGAATATTTCTTTAATTTTAAAAGGTAATGTATTTATAGATAAATAAATTATCTTTTGACATGACATGCTTTTAAAATTAAGTCTTTAAAATTGAATTATATTTAAATATATAAAAGAATATAGTTTTATACTTATTCATAAAGATCGATTTATTATTCATGAAATCGATTTTATAATGTCAAATTTTAAAGAGCTACTTAAGCCGAATATTATTAATATATAATATGTTTTATTTTAAATTTATTGACTTATTTTTATCAAAATACGATGGAAAAGTCATGAAATAAATATTTTATAGTTCTCTCGTAACGCTATGAACCAAAATTCAAAGTACTGAGTACATATTTATAAACAAAAAAGCTGTTCAGCATAACACCAATTGAGCTTGTTCCACCAATCAAACTACATTCCACATGTTTAACGCAACTTTATTAGTCAGCTAGGCATTTCAATTAATTCATGATGAATTTGGCCTGTCCTGTAAATTATAGTATTTTATTTATGACTAGCATTGTCCGCGGCTCCGCACGCGTTCAGATGACCAAAAACCAAATTCTTAGGTTTTACATATTAGTATACTCTTACCTTACAGTTTTTGTATTTTTTCTCAGAAATGAGATGTTTTCCGCGGTTAAAAGTATTCTATATGTTGACCCGGATAGCCAGCTATCATTATACTAAATTTCATAAAAATCCATCCTGTGGTTTTTCTGTGATACGGTAACAGACAGACAGACAGACAGACAAAAATTCTAAAAACCATAGATTCGGCCTCTGTATCGATAATAATGTTTATTTCAATAAGTTTTTCCAAAAAATATTTAGTGTACAGATTCGGCTTAGTTACAATTTTATTATATGTATAGATGAATGTATATAATATATGTCTTATTCCATTAAATCAGAGCAAAGATTGCATTTTAGATATACTAGTGTTCAATGATTGAAAGTCTATCAAATTTTTTTTATTGAACAGTAAAGCTTGTCAATATCTACCAAGTAAAAGGCAGTCGGTTGAATAGGTGAATTTAGAGTTTTAAAGCTATGAATAAATAGAATATACTTACACTCTATACGTTCAAAAGTTCCAAATTATTGGATTATAAGTTTTTTTATAATATTAGATTATTAGTATGTTTTTTTATTGACAACGATAAATCTCGTCAATAGCATCAATAGCTCAACAAAAAAATCTATTGACAGACAGAGGAGTGCTGCACTGTTTTATGTGTGCCCATTTATTTATGGTTAGTATGTTAAGGTCTTTACAATCCTTATTTTACAGTACATTCGCTTAATTTTCTCTTGAAAGCTTTAAAAATTTTAGCTTTTATGTGCGTCATTTAGTTATGAATTAGAAAAAAGTTATGTTCTTAAAATATTTTTGGAAGATATTATTAATTTAACTATTTTTTTTAATAAATTTTCTTGGAAAGTCTAAATGTTTAAATATACTTTAATAGGTCTACTAATATATTCAGAAGAGAGAGTACTAAATCACGAATAAATAAATAAAAATAATAAAATTTTAGTTCTTTACTAGGAACTAGAAAGTTATTAGACATGTTGTTTTTCTAGTTAATAAATAAATATTAATACCTTTGGTTTGTAATGAAAAACGTCAAATGGGAACACCGTAATAAGCTTCTTGTAATTCCATGTCGGCGACACATCTCTTAATGATGGTATATAATAACTATCATGAGATGAAAGTTTCGAAATCATTTAAATGTATAAGTTCTAGTATATAAGGAAAGTGTTTATAAGATAGCAGATTTTTAACCAATAACTTTTTCAATTTTTTTATTTATGTAGTCTTTCACGCAAAAACTACTGAGTGGATTTTAATGAAATTTTACAATAATATAGCTCATACATCAGAATAACACATAGGCTACTTTTTATCTTGGAAAAATGTACGGTTCCCGTGGGAAAGATTTGTTTTTGTTTTTCTAGAGGCGAATGCAAGCGAAGCGAGTAGCGAAGAGAGCGTTAAGTAGTATAAGCATTACCAAAAATAGGCAAAATTAAAGGCAAAAAAAGTTTTGTAAATATAAGTAGTTTCCAATAAAACAATCTCTTTAACATTTCCAAGTTTGTCTTATATAACCTATTATTATTTTTGTAAGTACATATACCTACACATATAAATAGGCAACCAAAAAACAAAAAAAAGGTTAAGTATCTTTTTCTGTCTGTTTGTCAATTGATATTTTTTGTTTAGTTAGCTATTGACTAGCTTTAGTGTTATCTATACAAAAGTGTTGGAAAAATGTAAATTCATAATATGTTTTCCCCAAATTTTCTATAATGGTTATGGTCTAATATCGAACACTGAGCGAACGCTAGTTATCTATACTAATATTATAAAGAGGTAAAGTTTGTGAGTTTGTCAGTTTTTGAGTTTGTGACGTTGTAGGGGGTAATGTCTGGATCTACTGAACTGATTTAGATGAAATTTGGTAAGACGATAGTTTGTAATCCTGGGAAGGAAATAGGATACTTTTTATCCCGGAAATAATCCCTTAAGGGTGTGAAAATGGGGATGAAAGTTTAAAAATCGCGTTGATAAGTAATACAACGTTCATTACATTTAAACTTGAAGAGAAATCGTCTATTGCATTATAATATCAACAGTAACATGGTTTCACATCATTGAATAGTTAGAAATGATAATATATTCCAATTTTATTGATTTTCGTTCAAAACGTTTGACCTCGAAAGACTCGTTAGTCTTGTTAACTGTGAAGATTATTTCTAAAGCACCTACATATAAAATCATATCTAAGATATGATATGTATTTGGGCCCGGGCCATAAAGCGTAATATTATTAGCAGTAAAATTTACTTATAGCTACTTGAGTGTTTTGATTCCTATATTTATTATTACGAAGTACATATAGTGCCTACTGCACAGTGACGCATTAGTTGCTTGTTAAATGAGGCATGGGTTTGATCCTGGATGTGTAAAATTATTAATTTTCGATTTGAAATATCTTAATCAAATTTTCAACCAACTTCGAAAAGAAGCGATTACTTAAATGTTTTTTTTGTGTGTATGTCACACGTTCTTCACCAATTCCGAATCGATTTACATAGTTTTTTTTAACGAAATAAATACAAATTTATAAAATTGTACTCTTAAAAATTGGAATACCGATTGAAATTGGTATACGTTTTTAAGGAAAAATTTATTCACATCTTTTTAAAACTTTAATGTACAAGTAAGTATGTGTGCACGAAACAATGTTTAAATTTAGGGTTTTATGGTTAAGAATAAATAGAATATATTTAGACTGTAGATGTGCCAAATAATTGGATTATTAGTTTGTATTTATATTGTAAATGGTAAATCGTAGTAACCTGTTCGCCCAGTGATCGAAATTCAACTATAATCATTTCTTTTATTAATAACACTAAAGCTACAAAACAAATAAAAGAAAACCAACTGATAACCAGAACAGAAAAAGGTACTGATCCTATTTATATAAAGATATTTTTTATAAAAACTGAAATAGGTATATAAGAAGAATAAAACATTTTGATATTCGAAGAGTATTCGATGTAGTTAGTTATTCAATGTAACTCGTTACAGAGCTGTATTTATATGTGACTAGCGACTCACCCTCGCTTCGCTCAGGTTCATCCCTAGCTTGATTCCCCATACAAACTTTCATCCCCATTTTCACATCCTTAAGGTATGATTTCCGGGATAAAAAGTATCCTATGTCCTTCCCAGGGTCTCAAACTATCTTTTTACCAAATTTCATCTAAATCGGTGCAGTAGATTCAGAGATTACCCCCTACAACGTCACAAACTAACAATCTCACAAAACTTTATATTATTTTCCTTTTTATAATATTAGTATAGACTAGTGACATACGCTCGCTTCGTTCGGGTTCGTCCCTAGTTACGTTTTAATGGTTAGTATGGAATAGATAGACTATATACTTCTATATATATATATATATATATATATATATGATATATAGCCTATAGCCTTCCTCAATAAACGGGCTATATAACATAAATTTTTTTTTTAAATCGGATTGGTAGTTCCTGAAATTAGCGTGTTCAAACCAACAAACAAACAAACTCTGCTTCTTTATAATATTAGTATAGATGAAACCAGACAATTAAAAAAACCATAGGTATTAATTTTAAATTATTTTTCAAAATAGTTGATATTAATCATTTATGTCAAGTTAAACGTCTACTTTCAGAGCTCGTTATATCGTAATCATAATATAATTGCACGAAGTCGCTTTAAATATAAGTCTATATTTGTAACTTGTTTTTGTCTTTCATACGAGTACGCAGAGCTCAATGACTTTCTATCATGATATTAAAAATGAAAATGAAGTAACTTTATTCAATAAAACTTTTAGAAGCTCTTATATGAGCTTATTTACATAAGAGTCAGTTTAGTCAATCTGAGGAAGCTACCACCGGCTTTGAAAGCAGTTCTGCTGAGTACAGTAATTTGATCATAATTCTATATATTTTCATCTATAAGAAACCCTGAAATCTATACACATAATATAATAAAATTGTAACGAAGCCGAATCTGCACATTAAATATTTTTTGGAAAATCTTATTATTGAAATAGACATTATTATCGATACAGAGGCCAAATCCATATTTTTTAGTTTTTTTTGTCTGTCTGTCTGTCTGTCTGTTACCGCATCACGGAAAAAGCACTGGAGGGATTTTGATGAAATTTGCTATGGTGATAGCTGGTTATCCGGGTCAACATATAGGAAACTTTTTACCTCGAGAAAATATCTCATTTCTGAGAAAAAACACAAAAAGTGTAATGTAAGAGTATACTAATATGTAAAACCTAAGAATTTGGTTTTTGGTCATCTGCACGCGGGCGGAGCCGCGGGCAATGCTATTATACATGTATGTATGTGTATGATACACATTATCCAATATTATCTATAAAATATTTTACAAATCGATATAAAATTTTAACTTATATATTTAAAACTTAATTTAAAGTTTGTCTCCTTATAACACACTTTTATTGGTTTCACTTTTGAACTATATAATAATCACTCTATGGGATTTAAACGAATGATATATATATATATATATATATATATATATATCATTCGTATATATATATATATATATATATATATATATATATATATATTTATTTATTAGCATAGCTATTTTTTAGATTTGCCATTCTTAATCTGATTCTTAATGAGCAGTCCATATATTGATGAATGATCAATAAAAAATGAAATCAGGACTGTTAATTAATTGATTCCTCGGGCTCCCTAGAATTTCACATAACACTTAATTAGCTTTGAATATGTAATTATGTGAAAATTTCTAATATCCTTTGAGTCAAACTAATAATATGTAACTGGAATACAGATCAAATAGTTTTGACGTTCAAAATCATATATTATCAGATTTTGTGTTGCTTTACTCGTAGTATACTAAGAAACACACAAGACGATTATGTTTTTGGCGAACATTTAAATCAGTTTATTTTTTTTATTGTTTAATTTCAAATAGTTCTTTTTATTTTCAAAACTATATATTTTCAGTAATTAATGAAAAATCTCTTTGTTATCAGGTGAAGAATGTTCCCACGAAGACCACTGTGCATCCCAGCCGTGTAGAAACGGTGGGCGTTGTGTAGCTGACAACACCACAGCCGTTGGATACTCCTGCGCATGTCCTCCAGGCTTTACAGGTGTAAGATGTACTGAAGACGTCGTCGAATGCTCCAGTGGGTCAGGACCTTGCCACCATGGAAGATGCTTTAACACCCATGGCTCTTACACTTGTGTATGTGAACCAGGGTATACTGGTCGGGATTGTGATACGGAATACGTGCCTTGTGAACCCTCCCCATGCTTGCATGGTGGAAGGTGTACCCAACTGGATCCCTTGAGATATGAATGTGACTGTCCTACAGGTGAGTTATAGTTCCTATAAATGTGTTCGTTATATTATAAACTAGCGCTAAAGATAGATAGTTTTCAGCAAAATTATGTATGCAATAGACCTTTTATTTTTTTATGGTGCTTAGTGACAAATGAGCAGACAGACAGACACTTGATGGAAAGCAGTACGTGTCGTCCATAACACCTAAGGTTCATGCACTTATGTTTTATGTAACAAAAATACAGAACCGTAGGTGCGTTGTCACTGTCAGGACTAAGATGATATGCCTCTTGCCTGTAATTGCGCTGGGTACCTTATTCTTCAAACCGGAACACAACAATGTAATCATTGTTGCTTGGCGGAAGAAAGAGATAAATTGTAAAGGAACCTGCGATCTCTGTTTTGTATTACGGAAACTATACCACGATGCCAGATATCTGTTAAGAAACATACATAATTAAGATACAAAACCGGTCTCACAATCGTCAAATATTAAAAATTAGTTAATCTCCGGTCAATCATTTAACTGGCGTCATTAATTTATCAAGATTAAAAGCGAAACGGTGTTGAGTGGCGAGCAATTTGCGATATATAATAATTGTTGGGATTGAAAGATTGCCTGTGTATAAATTAAGCTTTATTCATTTTTAAAAATACTACATAACATGTGTTAGAGACTATTATAAAATACATATGACAGTTATGTTTCTAATACATATATTATATAAATAAGCGGTCAGTATTATTACTACAATTATGACTATAGATACCTACTGAGTCATGTTTTACACGACTGAGGTACATTTTTAACTATCTTCAAAAAAGGAGATACCTATTCAATTTGATGTTTTCACTAAATGTATCTTTGTAATACAAAATTTGGGAGGGCATGTGTAAAAATCATGTTAACAAAAAAAAAATTCTTTTTTTTCTGAATTTTCTCTTCTTTTTGTTAGGTTCCTGAAATAATTTTTTTTACTGTTTCATTATTCACAAATATAAATTAATATTATGTTTAAAGTTGATCAATTCATAAGGAAATAACTAATTAAGTACTAAGTTTATTTAAATAACAAAACTAATACCTACCAAGTATTAACTATACTTAACTGAAAAACTTAAAGTGTAAAATAACATAGGTACGTATTAAAAACATAAATCAAATGTCAAAATTAACTGATAGTAAAACCAATAAATCTAAATTCGAGACTCTTGATAAAAATCGATACACCTAATTTTGTTTGAGCTTTAACGCATAAATTCTTAGTTTTCTCGTGGTCCCATATATATTGTAGGAGCAATTATTTCTACACCTGTCACACTACACTGTTTTGTTCCTGACCTCTGACACACGGCCATTTACTTCGCTATCCCGATCTTATCACCACTGCGCTATTATTATTGCTAGTTAATGGTTTTGGTTCTTTGGTTACTAACTTCATGACCGACTTCAAAGATGTAGGTATTTGAATGTATGTTTATTTGTGTGTTACGAAATATCTTTGCCAATTGTCAATTAATTTTGATAATTATTTATTTATAAAAAAGATACAAATATATCTAAAAGATGTATCCAATTATATTAAAAAAATCACTTCTAGTAATAAGTATTTATTACACATTTTTTTACATTGTTCATACATTTGTGTGTTAATTAAATTAGATATGTTGTCATCCTCCTTTACCGTACTTTCTGACGTTACACTTTGTAAGGTTAAATGTTTTACTTGTAGGTTTTGTACATAGCTTTATATAAGATAGTTTATAACTTTTCTCAATAAATAGATTTATGCATGGAAAAAGATTTTTTCAAAGAGATCCAGTAGTTCCGGAGATAAACGCGTTCAAGAAAACTAATAAACAATTTCTCCAGCATTATAATATTCATATTAATTACCCATTGTAGCCAATCAAGTGTAATTTGAGAATATCTTAATCTATTATTTCATACATAAGGGAAACACAAACAAATTAAATATTAATTATGATATTTGTACATCAACAATTTATAATATTTGATTTGGTTTCAAATTTTTGTATTGTTCTAATCGAAAGCTCATTTTAAAGATCAGAGGTTGGTTTCTCCCACATATTTTAGCCAAAGTATTTCGCAAAGCAATCATAGACTATAATATTGTTGGTTCAGATAACCGGAGGTTATGTAAATCATTCGACCAATTGATCGATAGATCAACGATATGTTAGACAGAACAAACTTTTAAAATGATAATAACATGCAGTATTCAACACCATATTTAGGTCAAATAGTAAAATTATTAAGAAGATGGCGAAATAAATATTATTTAATCCCTCCACGACCACGGACACGCCGGCGTGTCAGTTAACAATAGATTTCTTAGGATTTTAATTAATATCTTTGAAATTTTCCTGGAGGTGTTAATAGCTTACATTTCATTATGAACTTAATACAGTTAAAAATAATTGTCCCAAAATAAAATTGTTGAACTGACGTAACGGTTGCTCAAAATGCCCTTTCTCAAACAAAAGTATGAGAAAATTATGTTAACAATAGAGAAAAAATACATAACGCGTGTTGCGTGTCTACGAGTTTTACGATGCTTGGAGAGCCCGCGGCGACCACGACTATAAACTATCAGCTCATAAATAAGAATATTTATGTATCGGTCAATACGTACATTGTGCTAATGTTAAAAATATAGAGAGAGGTAATAAATACCTGTGTTGGATGTAAGTATAACATGCTTATACTCTACAATGAAACACGGCTTTCGTATGTTGTGTAAACATGTATATATCGTAGTGGTAGAGTCGAGAGATGATAATTAAGGGGTGTATTATTAAAACACACTGAATATCGATAAGTTTATCATAAATATAATCTATACTATAATAAAATTGTAACTGAGTCGAATCTGTAATAATATTTTTTGGAAAGTCTTTTTGAAATAGTCATTTTTAATGATACAGAGACTGAATCTATAGATTTTAGAATTTTTGTCTGTCTTTCTGTCTGCCTGGATTACGAGAAAACCACTAGACAGATTTTGATCAAATTTGGTATGATGATAGCTGGTTATCCAGGTCAATATATGGGTAAGTCAGGGTAAGTCGCTAGTCTATATATAAATAGGCAAAAACAAAACAGTTCAATACCTTTTCCTCCTCTATTTGTCAGCAGATTTTCTTTTTTTTTTTGTTTAGTAGCTACTGACGAGATTTAATGTTATCAAAAAAACGGAGATAGTTATCTCTTTATATAGATAGGTTAAATACTATTCATATATATTTACCTCAAATTTACAATACTAATTATGGTTGGATTTTGACCACTGGGCGCATACACGAGTAGTAATAAAAAGTTCAATTACCCATCGAAAATCTTATATATTATCTTATATTTTATATATATTATAGCTTTTATTAAACTTATGACTTTTGATATAACGTATCGTCGACAAGTTGATTATTTTTAGGGTTCCGTACCTCAAAAAGAAAAAGGAACCCTTATATTTACTCATACTGAGATATGATGATGATGTTCTCCTGACCGATTCCGGCCACGGCGGCCAATCTCATTGAGACTAGCCAACTGCGCAGGAGATATTATAGTGCACAAGTGTGCGCGCAGACACAAGTGCACTCTCTATTCCTGTCACTCTCATACTCCGGTGGGACGACTGCTCGACACGACCAGTGAGAGTTAAGGCGCAGGACCGGCGGCTTTACGTGCTCTCCGAGGCACGGGGGTGAAACAGCGCCAATTTCCCAACTCCGGGCTGTTACTGAGGCTTACTTATACAGAAAGACTCAATAACTAAACATACATGCTAACCACTACGCCACCGAGGCAGTTTACTGAGATATAAAGCATAACAGATAGTATATTATAGAGGCTTTTCATAGAAAAAGTAGAGCAAATTTTGTAAATGCTTAAATTACATTAAATTAAGTACATTGTTACTTAAAGTTTACATATTTTTATATAAATTTTGTATTATAATATTCCAAAATAATTTCAATGAGTCATACATTTAAGTTCAGGGTAAATGATCCCATACTCTACATACTTCCCACAGTTTGAGTGCCACATGTTGTATTGGAAATGATCTCCGTTTGACGGATTTAAGCACAGACGTTATTTGTCGGGTCATTAAAATTAAATATTACTTGACTTAAGCGATTCATAAAATTAAGTTGGAAATATTACACATTTTGTTTATTTTACTAAGCTTTAAAAGTTTAATTTTTTGCTTTGTATTTAAATAAAAAAATATGTATACTTCATTAGATGTAACATGTTTTTTTTTAATTTAATGGCGTAATTAAAAAAAAATCTCACAGGGAAAACTACGAGTATGTTGTATATAACATAACCTTGTGAATTAATTTTAATTAGTAGTGTTAAAAATTGTCAAATTTTATAATCTCTAGCAATCATAGTATTTCATTATAGTTTCTAAACATATAATGTGCAATATTTACAAAATCTCAATACGTTTTTTATAAAAAAAACTAAATATGTATTACAGTTAAAAAATTCAAGCTATTAAACTAAAATTACATAAATTTTGACTGTACAATAAAAATTAAATATAATAGGTGTTGCAAATATAAGATTTCACGAAGAATCAAATTGATAGCGAACTATTTCGCAAGAAAAGCTAATAAACACGAGATGCTCGCGCTAAACCATATATAAAAATATGACGTAACTTCACATTACACAAACTTTCTCACCCTACTTCATAGATTATTTTTATTTTATACTGTTTTAGAGACTAGAATGCTTTGTTTTATTTTGTTGCAATAACTGGCATTTCGATTTTCGTAAATTATACGTGTAATGAGTGTAATTTATTTTTTTCTTTAAAATTTTAAATTGCTGACATTTCATTACTATACAGTTTTAACTAAGATTTGCACTCAGCTTTCATTGTCTGATATTAATACGATTTACTATATGTATATATAATGTGATATCTATCTATACATATAATAAAATTGTAACTAAGTCGAATCTGTTCATTAAATATTTTTTGAAAAATCTTATTGAAATAGTAATTATTATCGATATAGGGGCCGAATCTATAGTTTTTAGAATTTTTGTCTGTCTGTGACCACATCATGAAAAACCACTGGAGGGATTTTGATGAAATTTGGTATGATAATAGTCGGTTATCCGGGTCAACATATAGGATACTTTTTACTGCGGGAAAATATCTCATCTCTGAGAAATCTATACTAAACTTTGAAATGTATACATAAGTGAATGTGCCGTAACACACAAGATATTCTGTCACGTTATTTAAAAAATGTTGAAAATAAAGACTAAGTTTACTGAACTTTATTTGAAGTAACATAATATGTAAGTTCATACGTACATATTGTCACGTGTTATCCATTAATATCTTTACTCTATAATAATCAATTAGTTTAATTAGGTCCTTGCTCTATCACAAGACAAATGTAATTTTTTAGGCAGATGTTAAAGAAATAAGTAGCTTATTTTGACTTAAGGGTTGTCACTCTTTTGGTGAAAATTCCAGCAGTTCCCTAAACTAACGATTCATTTAATAAGAAGAAATTAGTATTAGGAAATAATATATTCAGTCTTATAGAACGATTGCATAAAAATCACTTAAAGTTAATACGTTATATGAATAACGAGTGTCGTTAGAAATAAATATAAACTTGTAAGTTATAAATTAACGAGTAAATTAACACTGTAACCGTTAAAATAATACAGCGTGCTCTAATTTCCAGTTGAGAAGGCTGTGGGAATGCAAATGAAAAATATATTTAATTGATTTCAATTGACACTGTACTTATTTTATGAGCAATTAAAATACAAGTTTGGCGAGGCAGCCCTACATCTTGAAACACACAGCTTCCGTGTTTTAATTTTATCTCCATATGTATGGGAAGAAGGGCGGACACACTCTCACACCATATTATGTTAATTGTATTGTCAAAGTGGCATTTTCTTAACGTTCCATAACACACAACTTTGAGCTTATTCTGCATAAATAATGTAATCTATCCAATATTCATTTATGTGATCGTTCAATGCTTCAAATTTTATACGATTTTCGAGCTTATATCTTGTAAATTATATGCTATTATCGAACGAACTATCGTACTATTCTAAATTTTTATATACATAATATATTCGATTGCATCGATATGTGTCAAAGTAATCATCGTATTTTACAGTATTTAAATCTTTTAACATTTTAAACAATATTGATATATCATAGATGTATAATAAATTAATTGTTTATAAACTTTTTCGTCATGAATAAACATTAAGATTTATATACAGCCAAGAAATAATTAGCTACATTCTTATATTTGTACTAGCATTGCCCGCGTTCAGATGACCAAAAACCAAATTCTTAGGTTTTACATATTAGTATACTCTTACAATGCAGTTTTTGTATTTTTTCTCAGAAATGAGACATTTTCCCGCGGTAAAAAGTATCCTATATGTTGACCCGGATAACCAGCTATCATCATGCCAAATTTGATCAAAATCTGTCCAGTGGTTTTCTCGTGATGCGGTAACAGACAGACAGACAGACACAGACAGAATTCTAAAAACTGTAGATTCGGCCTCTGTATCAATAATAGTGACTATTTCAATAAGATTTTCCAAAAAAATATTTAATGTACAGATTCGACTGAGTTAGAATTTTATTATATGTATAGATAATTTCCATATAAACTAATTATTTGTTAGAACAGTATATTAACTTATAATGTTATTTGTATTTCATGAATTGCCTTTGAGTGTAAGATCGAAACAGCTATTCAGATATATATTAAATAGTGTTACGATACGTCTGTCTTCTACAATTTTACACATCCAAAATGTTATCCTGCCATATTAGTTTTACGTAAAACATCGTAAAGCGCACATGATAAGTCTGCTTCGTGTTTACGTCATGTTTTTTCTCGACGATAGATTTAAACGTTTTCCATAACCATATGTGCGTGGGAACGAGGGGGCTAATGAAGGTAACGAGTATGCCGACTTGCTAATCGTATGTCTATAGCCCGTTGTGTACCAAATGAAATTTCAACACTGTTTGTTCTGTTGATCTTAGGGCTTCTTAGATTTCTGGTGAAATGTCTTAGTGGTTTTAAGTCAATTCTTTACATTAGTAATCAATACATTTTATTTACTTGCATTATACTGGCGATTAATACTGGTTTCGCTTGGGTTCGTCCCTACTTGCGTCTTTACGTTTCTATATATTGAGCCAGGTAACTAGCTATCAGCATACTAAATTTCTAACTGACTAATTCATATGTGAAAATATGGACAAAAACACTTCCGCACTTTACAACATTAGTATTTTTTTATTTACAGATTTTTTATTTATACCAATTATAAATTTGTTTTTATTCCCAGGCTATCGCGGTCAGAATTGCGAGATCGATATTGACGACTGTCCAGGTCATCTATGTCAAAATGGTGCCACCTGCGTTGATGGTCTCAACTCTTACACTTGCGAGTGCCCTCCCACTTTCACCGGTACCCTGTGCGAGACAGACGTTGACGAATGTGCTTTAAGGTAAGTGATGATGTTATTTTCCTTTATGTATATATATATATATATATATATATATATATATATATATATATATATATATATATATATATAATTCCTATTTCCCTTGATCACGGCATCACGCGTGAACGGCTGGACTGATTTAACTATTTTTTTGTTGTGTTTGTTATTGTCAGAGAAGGTGGTTTATGAAAGAAAATTTTTAAAAAATTACGCGGAAGATTATAAAATTTAAGGATACTTAACAACCATATTAAAATTTATAAGACTAACGCTGGGTAATAACTATTTATATATATTTAAAACGTACCTAGGGACGAACCCGAACGAAGCGAGGGTGAGCCGCTAGTAATAATATATATTAACACTGCCTCTAATTTTGCCAAGTTACGTTCTTTTAAGATTGATTTTGACCGACTTCCAAAAACACGATTGTACATATTTTTTGTGTGTATGGTTCGCACACAGTATTCATTTTTAATTTTAATGGGTGGTTCAATACAAATTTAAAGTAAATATTCTAGTCCTGACAATATTTTATTAGTCAAAAAGTAATTATCGATTCTCTAACATAGATATAATTAGATAGCCTGTATATTAAAGAAGACTTTAATTTTTTTAAGGCATTTAGGAGAAGAATGACGAAGAAATGTATGCCGGAATTTCTACATACATACCTCTAGAAGTACCCTATACCCTATACCCTACATCAATAAGTGGACGATAACATGTTACATTTTATAATAGTACCGTTATAATATGTAACCTCAAATTGGCATATTATCGGATATAAAATTTATTTTACAAAGTTCAATTATATGGAAATTCGTACTCGTACTCCTGAAACCTATTCGAACACCTGTCTTCATGATATCGGCTTCTCAGAATTGTTTACATTATAAGTCCTTAATACCATGTATTTAGACTCACTATCGCACCAATTTTTTTACACCTTCAATGCTTTATAAGGCAGCAATAATCGTTATAGCTATATATAGATATAAGAGCTTTCGAATATAACAGCTATTGATAAAGACCAATAATAAAGGTCTAATTGAAAATCAATTGATCGATCCGAAAAATTCCTGTCGAACATGAGAGTATGATGCCAATTACTTGGACTTCGTAAAGAAAAATAATTCGACAAATACTGTCATGAGGTACATGTTATATTAGAGATACGATAAAAAAGTATTGCAATAATTACATTAAATGTTTTAATTATTTTTGAGTTTGGTGTAAAAGGCCTTAATTACGCAATAAAGATCGATAATTAACGGTTTTTAGTCAAATATCTAGTCTTTTAGTGTTTACCTAGGCAGCATTTTGCGTGGTAGGTACATCTATAAAAATAGCTTAGCTTAGAGACTGTTGTTAGATTGCAGTAAAACTATACAAACAAACAACCAATTTAATTTTTATACATTTTATTGATAGTATTTTAGAAAAAAAAAGAATTTCAAAAATTGGTCTACTATAACTAATTGTAAGATTTTTGCTTAAAATAGCCTAACTAAAATAAACACAAAAAAATCGAGGCTAGTAAATAGTAATAAAAAAATCCATGGGACAAAGCTTCTTAAACTAACTGGTTACCATGATACTGTACATGCGGTCAGAGCATTTCAATTTTGAATAAAAGAATCCGTATAAAAAAGCTGTATCGAGAGTTTAAGATGTGACTATAGGGTTTCACATCCACCGGAACGCCGAAACAAGTTTCATTGACATACATACACGCGTATTCAATCGACTTTATTAATTTTAACTTCATAAAATATAATTACTACACGCGATACATTTTCGGTTGATTTAAATAGTATGTAGTAGTCATGTGATGTAAACGTTTTACAATCACAAATAGATAGTGTTTGAAGTATTACATAAAATTTTATTGTCAGAGAATTAATTAAAGTAATATATTTTATATGTGGTGTAATTTGACTCTTAAAATTAGTTTATAAAATATATTTAATGACAAAACAGTGTTTACCTTATAATAAATAGAAACACTTTTTAGTACTTAGAAATTTTTAATATTTTTTTTTTGTCTGGAATATGTTATCTTTTCGACAAATGATGAGTACAAGAGCAAAGAAGTGGATAAAACCATGAATAATTTTAGGCGACTTATATTATATTGTTGTCAAAGATTATTTGCTATTCTTTACACATCATTAATAAATTATCTCAAATTCATACCTAATATTACTATTATTAAAATATTTATGGTTCATAACTCAAGTCATATCAATTTATATGAACCAAAGACCGCCATGTACTTCACTTTGTTGGATTTTCAATATTAACTCTTAACTTTTTGCTATAAGGCTTTAAATTCTTTAAATTATGTAACAAAACTGTCGAACCGCATTTAACCGCTCAAAGTTCTTTCTCCGCTCTTATTTCACTACACACTTCCAATGAAATGTGGTTTAAAGTATTTTCAACTCTATTAATCAGTAATATGGTTTATTTTAACTAAACAAATTCTTCAAGTGGATAATGTCATCCTATCCGGCCCGCTGGCACGTAAAACGTTACAGATAAATGCGTGCGCAATATCGGGTTACGAATGTTTTTTAACTTTTTTCTTCCCGAGGTCCATTCAAGGGTAAAGATGTTTGGAGTTTCCAAAACTTACGACACAGTCAAAGTGTCAGTAAGTTTATTAGATTAAAATCACTATCAATAATGTCCAAAATACCATGGGCGTAGTAACAATTAAATTTTTATGGTGATTATTTATGTCAGCTTTTACAGTATATCTAACATCGTAAATGTTTTAGTGTTCTATAATAGCCATATAAATTGATTTTATCAAGACGATACCTTAGTTAAATATTGTAAAGCGTTCATAGTGGATATGAAAAAAGTGAAATCGATAATAATTACATATTATTATTGGTTTTATGGCTAATAACAATTTTAATTAGTTCCAGAGCTTATTATTACTCTTATTAGTGAAATAATTAGTAATAAAATGAAATCGATTTTATCGTTTTATCCACAATACTTAATTATAAAACGTGTACTTACCGAGAAAGCTTTTATGATATTAGCTGTAAAGCAAACAAATTTAATTAATTTCTAGCAGTAGCAGTTGATTTATTCATGATTCACACTAAAGTGTAGAACAAATGAATAGTTCCTGTTTGAGCAATTAAAAACCTTTGAGTCGAATCCGGTGTTAGATACACTATAACATGCATTTCTTAAATATCGTCAACGTGAAAGTGGACATGTTTATTCATGAGCAACACATCCAGTTTGGTGCTCAGATATTTATTAATTGTCCAAAATAGTACTTCTTGAAGATAATTACGTAACAGAAGGCTTAATAGAAGGCTCAACTAGTAGCCGAAAGCTAAATTGTGATAAGAACATTTTTTGATTCCAAACGCAGTAGCTTAGATGTAAATTGGATTGGTTTGGGGGCTAAGGCTATATTGATAGTGTATCGGCTAAAGAGATAATTTAATGAATGAATTAAGCGTGGAAATGAGCTGAGATAATAGATAATGTATCCAGCATCTGTATTGTATATTTGATATACATAATATATAGAAGATTTGACTTTGTTTGAATATGTTAGATGATAAAGCAGTTATTTTATATAGTAAGCATATATCAAAATAAAGTGTTATAAAGTGTGTATAAAGTGTTTATAAATAACGTGATAACGATTGAGTTAAACAAGATATATAAATTAATTGTAAAATATTACGTAAAACAATTTCTATGAGAGCGCCAATGACATGTAAGAGCTCCATTACCGGTGTTTCTAGTGATCATTTGTTACTGACAGCGGTAGCCCATCGGTATTTAAATTGGTGTTATCGCTTACACATTAATCATGGTCATCAATTATTAGTTGTACATCGGCGGATCATCTGACGCTGCTTGCTGTTCTTTGAAATATACAGTACTGGATTAACACTAGGTGCACTCGGGGCTAGTGCTCAAGGCGGCAAAATTCGGGGGGGAGAAACAAAATTTTTATGGCGTTATCGATTTTTTTTATTATTTTCCAAAAAATGAATAGTTTAAAAAAACTGGCACATTTTTCGCAAAATTGAAATCATTTATAATTTTTTTTTGCATTTTCAAAAAAATAATAATTAAAAAAAAACTTTATCGAAACTTTATGAATTTTATGCAAAATTTCGATATGAGGGCGGCATTTTTTACTATGCCCAGGGCGGCGCTAAGGTTCAATCCGATAGTGGAAATATATACGAAATATATGTATGTGTTCTATATTATATCTTTAGCAATCATGGTTCAGAAAGATTTAAGAACCAGACTGTAAATCACTAAATATTTTTTGTATTATCCTCTTTTTGCCTCTACATGAATCCCAGAGTTTAAACGAATCAAATAATATATCATTTGTTAAAATCTGTCAAGCTGTTTAGGGCACAAAGTGTGTCAAAGAAACAGACACAATGTATTAATAAAATAAATATTATTCTTCATTCGGATAAAAAATAATTTATGTATATATCTACATGTTTCTTCAGTATCATTTACCCGATAATAAATTGGCAGAAGTGAATTAAAAGTGCGTATTAAACCTCTTATGTGATGCATATTTAACTATTGCCTTGGCGACCGATTTACCTTCGGCGTATTTATTATGTAAATTCCTTTTTTTTTGGAAAAGATTATCTTGAAAATCTAAACCTAGTTTAAATACAAAATTTTATCTAAATCGTTAGAGCCTTTTCCGAGATACATAAAATAAATACACAAGCACTGCTCATTTAATTTTATAAGATAGTTATTTTTGTATACTTTCTATTTGACCGATTTTGCGAAGAATAAATAGATTTCGTGACTACTATCCCTTTATGAAACTCAACAGAACAACCATATTAAGCCATCGTAAATTCAATTCAAGATTGTCAGAGTTACAAGTGATGTTAGAATTTATTCGTTTATCGACACACCTATCTACCTTATGTGGAACATTATACGATATTGTGATGCATTTGTGCTCGTTTCGGCAAAATTTATTGGCTTGAAATATGGATGTTACTTGTCACGAAGTCAAGTAGTCAATCGCTTGGTGACTCGTCTAATGCATATTTAAATTTTTATGGCGGTTTTCATCTAACAAATCACTTACGCGAACAGATTCATACAGTTATTTTGTCGGGACAAAATAACTGTATGAATGTAAATACTTTTTGTGATTTGTATATATATATGTATCTATATAAAATAACAAGTAGCTGACTGACGCTAAAAATTCTGTATATACTGAAAATCTGTTTTTTTTAATAGTGATCTGGTGAACTTTAAAGAGTATTTGTTAGTAAAATAATGAAAATAAGTGAAATAAAAATAGTAAAATTTTTCTGACTAAGTTTCTTGAATATTATTTCATTTTCAACATATTAATTAATATCTTAGACATTATTATAAAAATCATTTTAATATTATTGGTAAATACAAAATACTTTCTCAAAATAATACTGTCTTAGATTTACGTGAATATTTGACATTTTAAACAAATCCCTACATAAGTATCGGATTTTTGATTTGGGAACCAGAAATGTAAATAAAGTCGCTAAAAAATCCGAAACTATAGTTTTATTTTAAAAAAAAGTTACAAGTACCGGTTAGTCCGAGTAATACATGATACATTGCCTAAATACATGACTTAATTTTTTTAATACCAAAAATGATCAATTTCATCAGCATCCGGCGCATTAAACTTAACTTTTTCATACTCCGGCAAAATGTTGCAAGTGAACAATTTTGAACGAGACAAGGCAAAGCATTAATATAAGCATGCGGCGGAGTCGGCAGTATCTTGAAGACAATAAATTACTAAACTTTGACTACCCGATGGTTATAATTAATTGTTGATGATTGGCCAATGTAATGTGTGCGTAAACTGACATATATATATATATATATATATATATATATATATATATATATATATATATATAATTTTTTTTAAATAAAAAAGTAAGGAAAACTTGTAAAAATGTAATATGGTCTTTATCTGATCTAGGTGAAATTTGGTACAGAGATAGATTACGGCTTGGAATAGCACATAAGCTAATTTTTATCCCGGGAGAATGTACGGTTCCCGTGGGATAGGGTTGTTCTTGTTATTCTAGAGACGAACCCGATCGAAGCGAGGGCGAGCCGCTAGTAGCATTATAATTGCAAAATGTGTTTGTTTGTTCTTGTTTTACGCAACAGTGGAGCAACAGTTTTATGTGATTTTTTGTATCTTAAACAGTTTAGGACTTGGAAAGTGCTAAACTGTTTAAGATACAAAAAATCATATATTTTTATTATTATTTAGATGTCTAGTGCAAAATTTAACTAGTTTTTAAAAATAAAGAAATTATTATAGTGAGTGTAATAAGAAAGTAAAGCTTTGGCTAGGTGAAACGACGTATGATTAACGATGATGACTATGACTGCGATGGCAAATGCCTTCCGTGTCGAGGTCAATGCCACTGGGCTTTATTGCTTCAATACACAGCTTATTTCAGCAGAATGTCTTTTAATATTGCTAATATTTCAATAAGGATACATCATTTTGTTTTTCTTGCCTCGACTTTCATAATATTATTAAAATCAATTTCTTCAAGAATTACCTTCCTCTTGACATGCAACTCATTACAATTTGCCTCGCTGTTATTATCTAAACTAACTTTTATAACATATACTTAGAATATATATTTAGAATAGATAGACTATATATTATATGATATAAAGCCTGCCCTTCTTCAATAAACGGGCTATCTAATGCAAAAATAATATTTCAAATCGGATTAGTTCCTGAGATTAGATAAAATTTAAAACTTTTTTTTAAATATTTAAATGTTTAAAAGGAGGTTTTAAAGTAAACTGGTAAATATAAATTAGTTTGTTGATTTAAGTTTTTAAGTAAGTAATGGTCAGAAGAATAAATAATTGCGTAATTGATAGAATTCGTTTATCAATTATCATATTATGCTGTTATAAGTTATTAGACTTTATCTCATGATCATTATTTTGAAGATTTGTTTAATAAATAAAGATTTAACAAATACATATATATAAATTTATTTCGTGCATCCCGGAAACGGCTTTAACGATTTGGATCAAATTTTGTATTTAAATTTTGCTTTTTAATAATAAAAATAAAATAAATATACATGTGTTTTCTGAAAAAACTCAATTTTTATATTTTCCGAAAAATTTCTGAGCGAAGCTTTCACGATCAGGTCGGTAAAGGTAAATAATAAACGAATCTATACTAATATAAAGAGGTAAAGTTTGTGAGGTTGCGAGTTTGTGACGTTGTAGGGGGTAATCTCTGGATCTACTGAATCGATTTAGATGAAATTTGGCAAGAAAATAGTTTGAGACCCTGAGAAGACGAGGACAAACCCATGCGAAGCGAGGGTGAGTCGCCAGTATATAAATATTTGTAGTTTTATATTTGTAGTTGGGACATAAAGGTTGGGAAATGTTATGTGTATGTATGTACATATGTCAGAATATATTTACTATTAGTAAAATTGCATTTCCTTAGCCACACGATTGCCCATCATCTATACTACGCAGCATATATCTACATATTATGTATGAGCAAAATGCATTGAAGCTAAAAGTCGCAATTTGATTTACAACTTCTTTGAAAGTGTAACATATTTATTGACGTCTCTCTGTTAGTATAAAGCTATAAATCGTTCAAAGGGCAAGGTCCTGTTAAAGCGTATTATTTTTCTTTTTACTTTGTGGAAGATTGACAATATGAACAATTAACCTAACATCAGTTAATTTATATAAAATTTTCAGTATTACACATGAAATAGGAGATAATTATCTATTAAATATAATAAATAATTTTGACTTATACTCCGTTTTCAAATGTAACTGGCTATGTTAGCTGTTTTAAGATCAGATATAATATGCGCAAGCGCACGCGCCCACGGCACGCCTGTTCAAAGTTAGCCTTTGGGTTCTTTGTTGTGAAACTGTGATTTACTTTATCTATGACCCCTTTTGTTAAATGATACTTAAAATTAGTTTATTGTATGCGATTGTGTTTTATATTATACTTAAATGAATACTTTTAACAATTGCATTATATTTTTACTAGCGACTCAGGTTCGCGTCGCGGCTCGGGTTCGTTCCTAGGTAGTTTCCCCATACAAACTTTCATCCCCATTTTCACTCCCTTATGGGATTTCGGGATAAAAATTCTCCTATGTCCTTTCCAGGGCCTCAAACTCCTCCTTAACGAATTTCATCTAAGTCGGTTCAGTAGTTCCAGAGATTACTTCTCTATAAGCAAACTCACAAACTTACAAACTTTACCTCCTTATAATAGTATGATTATATAAAAGTTTATAGATGGTTTAACCGATGAAAATTTAAAAAATAAATTACTTTCTTTCATATGTAATTCTAATTAAAACCAAAAAATGCCGAAAACGTGGAATGTATGACATTAAAAGTACTAAAAGTGCCTTTTACTGGAAGCTTACAAAAATATCCACTAATAAGTGTTATTTAAATAGTTTAAAACATTTAGAAAATTCTCAAGTTGGTACGTCGCCTCGTTAAAATTTTGGAGAATCGCTGTACGTACTTTATCATTTAATCATCGCAGACTGTAGAATTCGCTACCACCGAAACAGTACTCGAGATCTAACCTACTTACATTTAGCTATAGCTTTAGTATGTACGTATATTTAATTAATAATTATAGTAATTTTATCCTTGCTTCTCTTGGGTGCGCCCCTATCCTATGTGTTACTTCATGTCATAATCTTATCTGTGTGCTAAATTTCATCCAAATCCGTCCAGCCGTTTTCGCTTCAAGGCGTAACTTATATACACACATAGACACATCCAAACTTTTTCCTATAAAATAGTAGTCCGATTGTTACAATTTGACATGAATATCTTCATTATATCTTAACCAATTTTCTATCAACAGGCCGTTAGTATGTCAAAACGGGGCTACGTGTACCAATTCCGTGGGCGGGTTCTCGTGCATCTGTGTGAACGGATGGACGGGGCCGGAGTGTTCTGTGAACATCGACGATTGCGCTGGTGCTGCGTGTTTCAATGGAGCAACTTGCATAGATCGTGTGGGCGCGTTTTACTGCAAGTGTACGCCGGGAAAGACTGGTAGGTTTACTAAAAGGAAAGGAGAGTTTTTCTTTCATTTCAGCTTGTTTGTTTAGAAAAATATGTGTATGAATAAACATTTGGACTGTACGGAGAAAGAATTAACGATCTCTGTAGCAAAAAGAGCTGTGTCTGTGAGAAATAATAGCTTGCATTTATCTCTCTTTTAACATTATGTTAACATTTACTAATAAAGTAAAATTTAAATATTATTATTTGAATAAAAAGTATTATTTGTTTGTTCATATATTATATATACAAGTATAGTGGAAATTATTTAGAACTACTGAAGCGACTCAGAATTTAATTTAATAATAATTTCAACACACCAAAAGCAATTAAAAAAAAATGTAGTTTTGAAATTACAACAATTGTTACATTCTTAACTTATTAGGTCTCCTCTGCCATTTGGACGATGCTTGCACGTCGAACCCGTGTCACGCAGACGCAATCTGCGACACCAGTCCCATCAACGGCTCCTATACTTGCTCCTGCGCGTCTGGTTACAAGGGATTGGACTGCTCTGAAGATATAAACGAATGTGAACAGGGTATGTATATGTTTTGGTATCTTTCTTATTTATTATCATAAAAAAATTATAACATTACATATAAGTTTAGGTGTGACATATTGAAATTTTGATAAAGTAGTATTTTTTTAATAACTTAGTTATTAAAAAAAATATTTATTTAAAGTTAGTCTCGACATACTTCCATATTGTTCTAATAACAATCAGCAAATAACTTAAAAAGTTATTTAAAAAAATTTTTAGGTCTCCATTTTAACGACTGCAACGGCTGCAATGATAGGAAGAGAATTTTTCATATTTGGAGAATTTCCGATAACTGATTTAGATAATTTAATTGCTATCACGAATACACATTTGATTTCATCAACTATATATTTATTTTACTTATATCAACCCCCACTTAGGTTCTCCTTGCGAACACGACGGTATCTGCGTGAACACTCCAGGCTCATTTGCCTGTAACTGCTCAGTGGGCTTCACCGGTCCTCGATGTGAAACAAACGTAAATGAATGCGAGAGCCATCCTTGTAGAAACGACGGATCTTGCTTGGATGACCCTGGTACCTTCAGATGTGTATGCATGCCTGGTAAGTACATTCTAAAATAAGCTTTTTCATCCTGAAAAACAGATTTTTAATATTTTAAATAAAACTATCTTTTCGGATTTTGTCGCGGATTTATTTGCATTTTTGTTTCCCGACGTTTCGAATGCTTTACAGCATTCATGGTCACGGGAGAGACTGAGGTGTTACATGTCTCGAAGGTATAGTTGTTACAGACAGCCTACCCACAATTAACAAAATGAAAATTTCACCAATTACATTACAATATTTTTTAACTTTAAACATTTCTATAATTTTCGATTTTCGACAAAATCCGAAAAGATAGTTTTATTTAAAATGTCAAATATTCGCGTAAATCTAAGAAAGTATTAGATTTTTGATATCTTTATACTTAAATTTTGACCTTAATTATATTTTAAATAATGTTGGCAAAGATAGTTTTAATATGTTTTCTACAAACGTCTAAATTGTGGTTTTTTTGACTATACTAATATTATAAATGTGATTGTTTGTTTGTCTGTGAATGAGTTTGTTACTAATTTCGATTAAATGCAATATCGAGAAATAAATATTAATAATATAAACGAATTATAATCATATATATTATAATTTAGATTTAAAAAAGAAAAGAAATAGAATAATTTAAACAAATCAATGGTTGAACAGCTTGATTTCTATAACGGTACACGGTACGATACAATTTGCTCCTCAGTTGACAGCGTGATAGCTGGATGTTTATCATTAGATGGAATGAGTTGGGAAGGATTGACAGAAAAACTAAAATAAACTTAAAAAATTAAACATAAAATATAATATGTATTTTTGTCTCCACGATAATTATTTTTATAGTGGCTTATATAGCTTTTATTCAATTATTGCTAATATATAAGCAAATTTTTGATCGGTATCAAAACGAAGTAACTAAATCGTGCAAATCATTAATAGAGCTGTCAAATAAAAACCAAAATAATATTTATGTCTTGAAAAGAAAAGAGATGATAGAAATATTGACTGAGTATACGATAGGTTATTTTTGACCGATTTCAAAAAGAAAAGGCACTAAATTTGTGTATATTTTTTGAGATATTTACGCGAAATTTTGTCACTAAACAAGCGAAACCATATGCTAAAAATGAATAATAATAGAAAATACCTCACGATACACTAAGGACAGTGAGTTCGATTCTATCTAATGTTTTAATAGAAACATGTTTACAGTAACATTAATTGCTTTCCATGAGATTGTAGAACCTCTATATATGTAAAACAGAATTATCACAACTAGTAGCGAGAAATAAATTTTTTGCCAACGTTACAACACTCAGTTCCCATGACGATGTGAGCGGCGAGACGGAAGCTCTTACTTCGTTTAACATAATATAACTCTTATTAAAATGCAATAAGAACTATTTATGGCTATTATAATTATGTTTTCTTAGTGCTTAGATTAGCTAAAACAACCTTTTATATAATATAGTGTGGAATATTTTATATATGTATTTGAATTTTATGTTAATTCTATTGGGATGTATAAATATTAAAATTAAAAGTCAAAAAATTGGTCTGCAAAACTTTGAATTACGTATAAATTAAAATATTATTCTAAAATATTTAGCTTTACGCTGTATTGCGAACAGTAAATCGATTCTAACCTTAATTCATTAAACAGACTATTATAGAACTGGAAAGTATTCAAAATGAACATTAAGTCTTAAAAATATTTAGTTTACTATTAACGTTTAGTATAGATTTCTCAGAGATGAGATATTTGCCCGCAGTAAGAAGTATCCTATATGTTGACCCGGGTAACCGGTTATCACCATACCAAATTTCATCAATCTGTCCAGTGGTTTTCTCGTGATGCGTTCTCAGACAGACAAACGGATAAAATAAATTATCAATTCGGCCTCTGTATCGATAACAATGACTATTTCAATAAGATTTTCCAAAAAAATATTTAATGTACAGATTCGATTCAGTTAGAATTTTATTATATGTATAGATAACTAATGAGAAATATAAAATGCTATATTTATATATGTTAATATATGTGATGATAGAACGAGCAGATTTTTGTTAGAACTATTAACAAAAGCAACAACTAAAATACTACTTAGAGATTGTATTTATACCGATTATACTCATATATCGATTCTTAAAAATAACAACTGCACTTTAAACCTATGAAGTACCCACATGCCCATAACCGATACATTGTCAAGTACACAAAACATGTCAGCGACGCAATGATGCGGATGGAAGCACTCAGTGAAAAACATAACCCGATCGAATTGCGAATGCATCGTAACCCGTCCCTTTATAATATGAGATATCACTTCTTAATTTAGCCATGCAATACATAGCTTTGACTTGAGTATAATACTGGTAAATTGAAAAGGTGGTGTAAGGATTAAGAGTTCGAGTACAGTGGGGGGAATTATACATAGTTGTGTTATACCACTTATCTCACGCATGAGTGATTCCAGACTCGTCTGGCAAGTGAACTAATAAGGGCAGGCTTGGTGCTCGGTATGACGACATTATAATTTTTTTATAGTTAAAACATGCCTAATGGGCCCTTGCACTCTGTTTTTATAACGATATAACCGTTGTTTATGCCTAGATGGATCTTTAAATATTATTAAAAGAAATAATTGCAGTTATTCCCATTTAAAAATAACCGTCAGTATTTTTTTTGCCATCATATTTAAAGTCTAAGATATTCCTTATAGTTCTTAAGATATACTTTAATTCACTTGGTTTTTAGTTACGGAAGATTTGTTGTCTTTCACTTTTGGTTGGTTCTCTTGGAAAGATTCCATTATGAATTAGTAGACAGCATAAACTCCTGTATCTTCGTGTGTTTGTTTCTCTATCCCTTCATCTTTATTTGCATGAGACCGTTGAGTTTCTAAAGAAAACACGATTGCTTTCTTAGATTTAATTATCTATAAGATAATATATCATAAAAAGAAACTGGTTAATTTTGCAATTCTGTGACTTATTAAAAACTACTTTCATGTTGACCTCTTATATCAGTTTGTAATTTTTTTTTTTTTATTTTGTTCCCAAAAAGCAGCTGGTCAAGTAATGTGTGTATCTGAAGCATTAAACATTCAAATATGCGCATAAACCGGCATTAGCTTGCGCCCGCTGGACATTCTTATTGTAGCTTGCGATCCGAAATCGTGACGATGGCGTATGGTATAAAAGTGCACGACAGCGGACGAGAACTTCCTGTACTTTAAGTCCATCTTAATTGATAGACAAAGTGCTATTATTTTGCATTTAGGATGTCTATAGTTGTTACATTCTTATAGAAAGTAAGAGTTACCGTTTGGCATTAATTGTGCTGTGAAATATCTTCTCTCCTTTCTTTGGCAAGATTCTTTATCTACGGATTCTCATAATCAGTTTCTCAGTTTCTTACGCTAAATTGGTCAAACAAAAAATTACTTTCATAATATTTGTTCTACAATTGCACAATTTCAATGAAGAATAAATATCCTTAATATAACTAACGGTACAAACAGTGGTTTCTATAAATGTGTGTTTTATTATCCTACTAATAATATTATAAATGCGAAAGTTTGTGAGGATGTATGGATGTTTGGATGTATAGATGTATGGATGTTTTTTGCTATTTCACGCAAAAACTACCGAATGGATTTTAATGCAACTTTACAATAATATTGCTCATACATAAAAATAACACATAGGCTACTTTTTAGCTTGGAAAATGTACGGTTCCGTGGGATAGATTTGTTTTTTTTAGGCGAACCCGAGCAAAGCAAGGGTGAGCCATTAGTAGTTTAATAATATTGCCGCACATTGTAATTACTACATTTTTCTTTAAATATGTGTGCTTATAATTTGCACCGAACGTGTACCCGCGAAATGCGCTCGCGCATTGGGCGTGGCATCCCCTCTAACTACCATTTTGGTACGGCAAAGGCTCAATAGGCCATGTCAGCTATACAAACACTTGCATAATACTTTATTGCTCTTAAAATTGGAATTTGAATTATTATTCAAACTAATGGTCTTGATAATGGGTTAAAAGGTTATTATTGTTTTAGAATTACGAAATACATATCTTTACCCAAAGCAATTACGCTAAATTGGTCAAACAAAAAAAAATACTTTCATAATATTTGTTCTACAATTGCAAAATTTCAATGAAGAATAAATATCCTTAATATAACTAACGGTACAAACAATTGCAAACTCCATACATTTCGATTCGACGTACGTACTCTCTTCAACATTCTAATTAAACCCAAGCCGCTGTAATTAACATGCCAACTTGTACTATTCCTGTGAACATTGTTGTGAACATTTCTTATTAAGTTTATGAAATTGTATTGTAGTTATTTGTTTAAACTATGTGTTAGTTTTCATTCCAAATTGTCAATACAAATTAAGGTCGCTCACGGAGTGCACTTTCAAAAAGGTGAGCTGTTTCAAATGCCTCTTAATCGTACTAGAACATCTCGAATAAGGACATTCAGAATGTTGATTACTTAAGTTTACTTGTTGTCTGATTACTTCGTTGGTATAGTGGCTGTAATATATCTGCGATTTGGAGGTTCTGGATTCGAGTCCCATTGGGCCATGTTTGGTACTTCGGGGTTTCTGTCAAGAAATTCTTAGAAGCAGCCCGTAGTTAGGAAGTGGGCGGTGTTACACCCTCAGGCTATGGAAAGAGCGTGAAAGCTTAGAGAGCGCACTTGTGTGTGCGCGCACACTTTAGCACAATAATATTTCCTAGTTCCGACGTATATTTGTAGTTTTTTGACTAATGCCACTAGATTGGTCGCCGTGACATCGGTCAGAACATATGTAGATATTATATTCTATGCATCATTAAAAATATAAAAAAAATATTTTATTTATACTTATAACGTTATCTTTTACAATGTGCAAAGTAAATAAAAAAGTACATGTAATTTTAAATACAACTTTTCCAGTAAAAACCACAATTTAGACATTTAAATTAGTACACAGACAGATCGGATCCAATAAATAGTACAAAAGTTTGACTGAATAACAAATTTCAGGTTTCACTGGAACACAATGCGAGGTGGAGATAGACGAGTGCGCAAACAATCCGTGTCTGAACGGCGGCGTGTGCCACGACATGATAAATGCCTTCAGATGCACCTGTGTTATTGGGTAAGTTGAAATTGTGTCATTTTGCAAAAGACTCGTTAAAAGACTTGAGATGGATTATAATCATTAAATTATTTTTAAAACGAAATATCAAATATATTTTATACATCAAAATACCAAATTAATCTATACCTATAATAATGGAATGTGACCGACCTTCTTTAAGATAACTATTTCAATTATCTGCAATATCTGGCTTGCATTAAAAAGTGACATGATATGCAATTTGGACACAATTTAAATTAAAAGTCATTACTTTTTCTGTAACTAAATTAACTAAGTAGATATTTCATGTACGAATATTATCCTTTCCTTAGATTCACTGGAGCAAGATGCCAAGTTAACATCGACGATTGTGCATCAAGTCCTTGTAGAAATGGAGGTACTTGTCATGATTCAATAGCTGGATACACCTGCGAATGTCCTCCTGGTTATACTGGTAAGTAAAAGTTGTATTTTATAAAGAAAAAATACAGTTTTTAGGGATATATGGCCAAACTGAAGCTGGAATTTATATAAAAAAGTGAACGCAAAGTACTTGTGTACATATGTATGAATACAGGATTCAGGTCGGCAAGTCCGGCTGAAATATTAGATACGTTTACAAACTGACAGCATATCTAGCCTTATTTAGGTTTCAGTCCGATAAATAATGGAACATCTACTAATACCATGTCTGTCTGTCCATCGCAGTCTTCTAATGCTGGTTGGAATGATATATAATAATTATTTTTTCTAATTCCTGCACTATTATGGTCTACAACGTATAACTAGATGAGATCTAAGGCGATTGTTTGTGATTTCTACAATTTTTTACAATATTTTTTAAATATAAATATTTTAGTAATTTCCTAGTTATTTTATTAGCAAATATGTCAACACTATTCTCTGCCAATTCTGAAATCGTGCCACTTTACGAGAATAAGGTTGCAAATCGTGACGTTCGACATAAAGTCGTGCGGTGTCCAGCGGAGACATTTGTCAACGGGTGTCACATATATCAAAACAGGGGTTTACATGGGCTCAACCGACTTTATAACATGGGAATTTAAATTTGTTGCTCGATTTGTGCTTCGATTAATAAGAATATATTGATTTTTGGTTTGAAATGTATTGTTGGGATATGTTATATTTTGAATATCAAGGAATTAATTAATTAAAATATGATTTTGTGCTGTGATTTAATGGATATTGCAAACATTTTTTTATTTTACAAATTAAACTTTCTTTTTAGCTTTTACTAGCCATGGCATTTTTGCGTTCTACTGCTTATAATTATAAAAAATCGGGTGTGTCACAAGGTAGTAATTTAGGTCTCCTACTATTCAAGTTTGTTTAAGAAAATATATTGAAACTATGCTACCATTTAAGAATATTAATACAAGGATATTTTACAGGAATGTCCTGCGAAACAAATATCAACGATTGTCTCTCAGCGCCGTGCCATCGAGGGGAGTGTATCGATGGTGACAATAGCTTCACTTGTAACTGCCATCCAGGGTACACTGGCCGCGTGTGCCAAACTCAGATCAATGAATGTGAATCTAATCCTTGCCAATTTGGAGGTAAGTAATATATCTAAATATCCATACTAATATTATAAATGCGAAAATAACTATCTGTCTGTCTGTTTGTTACCTTTTCACGCTTAATCCGCTGAACTGATTTGGATGAAATTGGGTATAAAATAGTTTGAGAATCTGGGAAAGATAGAGGATAGATTTTATCCCGGAAATCAGTTCTTAAAGGGGTGAAAAGGGGGGTAGAAGTTTGTATGGGGATCCATCATTTCTTAAGAAAAGGATATAAAACTCATCATACCTATGTACGCATTTAATATGTCCATACGGTCTATCTTTTCCATACTAACAGTTAAAACGTACCTAGAGACGAACCCCAACGAAGCGAGAGTGAGTCAGCTAGTAGTAAATAAGTAACGAGTGCTTGTTACTTTTTAAATTATTTTACCTTATACATATTACCTGTGCAACCGAATCTCGCTCGACCGTTTTCGGAATAGATATAAAAAATGCATTTTTCAGAAAAGTACATATACAGATAAACCTACGAAACAAAAACTTAACTAAGTACAAAATTTGATCTAAATCGTTACAGCCGTTTATGTGATACAAATGTGATACAAAATATATTTATCTGGTTTTTAAAAGTCTGCCCAGATTACTATATACCATTTTAGTGATAATGTATCCTTATATCCTTCTTAAGGCAATTATATTTTTTTAATTTAAAGGTCACTGTGAAGATTTAATCGACGGCTATCAATGCCGATGCAAAGCTGGAACATCTGGGCGGAACTGTGAGATCAATGTCAACGAATGTTATTCCAACCCATGCAGGAATGGTGCCACCTGTATAGATGGCATTAATAGGTGTGTATATTTTTTTGTTTATATAACAGTATTAATTATTATTTTTTAATTAAATTTCATATTTAGTAATGTCATATTAATATTTTGTAATTGTTCTAATCGTCTTTTTTTTATTTTAAGATATTATATTTATTATCTGTTATATGAAAGCTTAGTAATTATATTGTTTACATTTATATGAATATGGGTTTGGTTAAATTGGAGAAGTTAACAAAAATAATTTTATACTAATATTGTACACTTATAATACTTTCTTATACCTCTTTTGCTTTTAGAGTTATCGAAATTTTCCTTCTTTTAATTTAATGCCTTTTTTCTTTCACATGCAGCAACAATTACTTTGAGTAAGTGCTTTTAGAAATTACCGCATGTATTAGTGTTTAGCTTTTTATGTTTATATAATCGATTTTAGCTTTGCGATTGATGTTCTTATATCGATTATTATATTCGAGCTTTTTTACTTTGATTTTTTTTAAATGCTCTTACTAAAAGTTTTCTATCATTTTATATAAGTTGTGTGGCTGAATTCAAAATATGCAGTAGTGGTACATGTAAAACTACAAAACACCTAAAAAAACTCTGCTGTTTTAAAATATCAAAATTCAACTAAAAACACTTAATAGACTTAACTTTTCACTTAAATATATAAATATTATAATAGGTAAATATGACATATAATGCAAACGTTTTCCTTTGGCTTATTTGAAAAAGCTTAGTTAAAATAAATTTCATATGACTCTTTCAACCCAAAAACCAATGTTGCATGTAAAAAAAAATCATGAAAAGCATGTAATACCCACACACGAGCATGTATAAAGGCACTATATATTTAATATCCATGTACTATCAGGTACACGTGCGAGTGTATCCCGGGATTCACCGGGCAGCACTGCGAGACCAACATCAACGAGTGCTTGTCCAATCCCTGTGCGAATGGCGGCAAGTGCATCGACCGCATCAATGGCTTCCGATGTGAATGTCCACGGGGTTACTACGATGCTAGGTATGTTATGTTTTTCGATTTCAGTTACGGCTCTCTTATATCTCTCTTATACATATATTATCTCTTATCTGTTGAGACTAATCAACAGGACGCGATATTATTACTATACTAGCGACTCGTCCTTCTTCCTCTCGGGTTCGTCCCTACGTTTTAAGTATAGATTTCTCAGAAATCAGATATTTTCGCACAGTAAAAAGTTGACCCGTATAATCATCTAGCATCATGCCAAATTTTATTAAAATCCAATGACCCAAGTGCACTATCTCTCTCTATAGAGAGAGATAGAGAGAGAGAGCTCTACTCTCTCTCTCTCTCTATGCCCTTTAATACTCATATTTTGATGGGACCACTCGACATGATTGCTGAGAGATAGAACGCAGGACCGACAGTGTACAGCCTGCTACTGAGGATTTTGTCTCAAAAAAACTGAATAACAATTTCGACTCGGCCCGGGAATCGTGCCTAGGACCCCTCGATCTGCAGCCGTACATGCTAGCCACTGGACTAATGAGGCTGGCTAGGTACATAATAAGAGATGAACGCCAAACCTGCATGATGTATACCTATATTCGTGGTATCGTATTTAGATTTGAACACACTCATTTGAAGATTTGTGTTTTGATTTGATTTGTATAGAATATTGTATATCTTTACTATAAAAAGTTTATTATTAAATAACTTTGACGTATTTCAGTTCTATATAACATATTTTTTATGCTTATAATTAATTACTTTTGTTAATATTGCAGATGTTTATCCGACGTGAACGAATGCGCTTCTAATCCTTGCATCAACGGCGGTACTTGTGAGGATGGTGTCAATCAATTCATATGTCACTGCTTGCCGGGTTATGGAGGTATGTAATGATTAATCATTTTTACTAGATTTCCAATTATTACATTATTAGGTACATTGCTTAGGTTTTCATTTCAAGCTTAGATTTATTTTTATATGGCCATACTATGTGTTTGTTTCTATAAACTAAAACAGCATATCGTTTATAACATCAAATTAAACCTTAATTTAACACAAGAATTTGTGTTATATTTGTCACAAACGAAATGTTCAGATATTATGCTCTTTTTAGCAATACGCGTGCATTTATATATGTACACATATTTTATACTAGCGATCTTTGCTCTCTGTCCGTCTGTAAGTACGTTCTTATTTTTATGAGCGGAAACCTAATCCTTATTCTAAAATAAAAGTAGCCTAAGTTACTCCTCATAACATCAACTATCTACCAGTCCTGTTAAAATCAGTTGGCCAAATCGGAACAAACAGACAAACAGATAAAGACAAAAAAATTAAAATTATGTTTTTCTAAGTACCGTATAAAATTTCATATACATTTAGTAAAAATTTGTTATTTTGACATTACAAACAGACACTTCAATTTTATTTATCTATATAGATGTATAAGATCGTGCAGTACTAAAATAATATGAACATTTTATATATTTTGAAAACTTATGTTAATGCAAGTATTTAACTTAATTAATATTGTTTTATCTCCACAGGCCAACGCTGTGAGCGTGACATAGACGAGTGCAGTTCGAACCCGTGCCAACATGGCGGCACTTGTCACGACCGACTCAACGCGTACAAATGTGACTGCGTGTTAGGATTTACTGGTAAGTATTTATTTAGAAACAAAATTAAAATGTATATTAACAAGATATTATGACATAGGATTTTTATTATAAATGTGAAAATTTTGTATGTTTGTTACCACTTTACGCCTAAACTTCTGGATGGATTTGGATGAAATTTTGTACACAAATAGAGTATTTCTTAGATTCTAGAAGGTTTTAGAGTAACACAGTAGATTGTGAAGCGAAAACATGAACGTAGCCGAGCGAAGCGAAGATTGCATATTTACAAAAAATATTCTTTGTATTAGGAACACAACAAAAATTCTTCTTCTGAGAAAGAATTCCATGTATGAGGATCTCATAAGACTACATAGAGTTTTTCTTTCTTTTAGCCAGAATTTAATCATTTTTTTTAATTTCCAGGTGTAAACTGTGAGACTAACATCGACGATTGCGCCGGCAACCCCTGCCTGCACGGGGGGTCCTGCATCGACCTCGTGAACGGCTACCGATGCGTGTGCGCTCCACCACATTCTGGCAGGAACTGTGAAAACACACTTGATCCTTGTTTACCTAATCAGTAAGTTGTCATACTAATGTTGTAAATGAGAAAGAGTGAGTGAATGAGTGAGTGAGTGAATGTTAGTGGGGGTTAATAAAAAATGCCGTGTGAAATTCGGAAGGGACATGTATCATTTTCTTAATTAACACGTAAGCTACTTTTATACACGTATAGAATACGTGTAAGAATTGGTATTTATTTTTTCATTGATGTTCATTCTAATTATCGATTATAATTTGTTGCATCTCTTCAGTTTATATTATCAATCTTAGCGTGTAAACAAATTTCATTCATAGCTAATACTTTCTTAGATATACGCGAATATTTGACATTTCAAATAAAACTACCTTTGTGGGATTTTTCGCGAATTTATTTTAATTTTTGATTCCTGGCGTTTCGAATGCTTTACAGCGATCATGGTCACTGTCATATAGTTGTTACAGACAGTAAAAAAAACATTTTTTTGGGGAACTGAAAAAATATTATTTCCCTATACCCCAAAATTGCTATAACAGTACTAAAAAACTTATATTTATCATAATAAACAATTCCAGATGTCGTCACGGCGGCCGCTGTATAGCCGAGGCGTCATACGCGGAGTTCACGTGTCAGTGCCCTGTCGGCTGGACGGGCGCGCTCTGCGAGCGGGACGTGGACGAGTGCGCCGTGACAGCTCCCTGCCATAATGAAGCTACTTGTATCAACACTGAGGGGTCCTATGCCTGTCTATGTGCCCATGGGTATGAGGGGAAGGACTGTGCGATAAACACGGATGATTGTGCTTCGTGTAAGCTATTATATAATTTCTTGAAACTTCTATATTTGAGATTTGAATGGGAGATTATAATTTTTAAAACATAAAAAAGGCGTTAGTAATGAAATCAAAATTTAAAAAAGACACGGATTAAAGTTTGTGGTGTTTTTATATTCAATTTAAACATGTGTATCTATGCATGCTATTATTTTTATTATTTAAATCCACGTAGTTGTGTGAAACTAAAGGTAAAGTTTCATTGTATACCATATATGACAGATGATCATAATAACAGCTAGTTAAAAATTGAAGTAACAATTTATTTACACTTTGGCGAAAGACGTCCAATTTTTTTTTAATTATCTATTTTTAAATTTCTAGTACATTTCTATGTGTTGACATTTATTTCATTAAACATTTCAGTCCCCTGTCAAAACGGAGCGACATGTTTAGACAGTATCGGTGATTACAACTGCGTGTGCGCGAGCGGCTTCGCGGGCAAGCACTGTGAAGTGGATATAGACGAGTGCCAGTCTAGACCTTGTATGAATGGCGCTACTTGCAATCAGGTAATTCATTTAAAACCTAAATATTAAGGTCACTGAAGACTAGGGCCATTTCACTAATATTCTATCAAACAACAGCACATATTATTTGTCAGTCGAATGATTTTCAGAACTCAATTTTTATAAAAAGTGACCCGTTAGCAATCAAGGACAATCCCAATTTTAACATCAGTTAAAATATTTATCGTGATGTTAAATTACGTATCGAAATATGCTGAAGGGCCTTAATTAACTAGATTAAAAAAAATGTAGAACATAACATCATATAAGTACGACGTAGTGACGAGCCAAAGACTGCTGTTTCCATTGGGAAAAAAAAATCTAGGTACATATTTGCTTGTTACCTTAGAAATTTCCTTAATTAATTTCTACATAAATTTATTTTCCTATCCAGTACGTGGCATCATACACCTGCACTTGCCCTCTTGGCTTCTCGGGCATCAACTGTCAGACCAACGACGAAGACTGCACAGAATCTAGCTGCATGAATGGAGGGACCTGTATCGACGGCATCAACTCTTACAACTGCTCTTGTCCCCCTGGGTGAGTGAAATATTTAACCGACTTCCAAACAAAAGGAGATTCTCAATTCGTCAAAAGCTTTTTTTAATGTATGTTCACGGATTACGCGAAGATGCCTGAACCGATTTGGAAAATTCTTTTTTTTTGTTTCAAAGGTTTATAGGTAATTCCCAGGTGGTCCCATTTAAATTTTTATCGAAATCAGTCGAGCGGTTTTTAATAAAAATCAACAACAAATTATTTTTAAATAAATGGCTTAATCTAATATGCTATTAAAAAACTTTAACTACTAAAGTAAACTTACCAATTACGTGCTTATTACATTTACATTAAAAATGAAAAAATAAAAACTTACAAAGATAATAAATAAAGGTCAAACATATTTTGGATCAACTATTCTAATTGATATTGTACTTTGATATTTTTAGATGTTTTACGTGTATACGTATTTGCTTTGGAAGTCAATAAGTCGCTACTTTATAAGTATTTTTTTCTAATTTTTTTCCCAGGTACACGGGTTCAAACTGCCAGTTCAGGATAAACATGTGTGACAGTTCTCCATGCGACAACGGCGCGACCTGCCACGACCACGTCACCTACTACACTTGCCACTGTCCCTACGGATACACTGGAAAGCATTGCGAGACTTTTGTTGATTGGTAAGTTTGGTGTTTTTTATAATGCCATCCATCTATACTATTATTATAAAGAGATAAGATTTTTTTGTTTATTTGTTTGTTTATATAAGCTCCGAAACTACCGAACCGATTTTGATGAAATTTTGTAAGGAGATTGTTTGAGGCTCTGGAAAGGACATAGGATAGTTTTTATCCCGGAAATTATCCGTTAAGAGGGGTTGAAAATGACGATGAAAGTTTGTATGGGGAGCAACCTAGGAAGGGATCCGAGTGAAGCGAGGGCGAGTCGCTAGTATCTTATAATCTAATAATCGAATCTTTTAATCTTTTCAGCCACTCAAAATTATACTTATTTCTGTTCCAAGATTAGTCTTAAAGTAATTGGCAATATTTTAGAATTATATATCACTGCATATTTTGAATTACCCGCGCTTCACTCGTGCGTTACCATAGATGCAATTAATTAATAAATAGAAACAAATATAAAAATAACGAATTCTTAATGTTTTTTGACGACACGTTTGGCTCAGTTTGTAGTGATTCTAATTGCTGTGCCAGCAGTGGCGGGTTCGAGTCCCGCTTGGGGATTTATTTGTGTGATGAACACGAATGTTTATACTCCAGTCATGGGTATTTATATTCATAATATGTATGTATGTATTTAAACTTATAGATGTGTAGTGTATCAACTATCTGGTACCTATAACACAAGCCTCGTTTTAGCTTACCATGGAACTAAATGGTGCTGTGTGTTAATGTCCCGACATATTTATTTATTAATTATATTTAATATTTTTTCCTGCAGGTGTGAGAACAACCCCTGTGAGAATGGAGCGACTTGCTCACAAAAGGGCCCGCAGTACACGTGCACGTGCGCGCCGGGCTGGTCCGGCAAGCTGTGCGATGTTGAGATGGTGTCATGTAAAGACGCTAGTATTAGAAAAGGTAAGTTGGTTATATTGTTTTAGTTAAAGTTATATTTAAAAGTGAAAAATGGCAAATTTAGATTATACAAACATTTAATGTGAAAATAAATATAGACTTGAAATATTCTTATGATGGTATTCTGGACATTTTATTAAAACATTAGCAACTCACCCTTGCTTGGCTCGGGTGCATCCCTAGGTACGTTTTATATAGATATGAATAGTTATTGCAAGTGTACCTTAGGTGAAAGACTTACGCTGTTGCAATTTATTAAGACCTACAATTTTCGAGTACATTTTCTCTAAGGTTTAGCAGCGTTAGACATGAAAATTTCTAAGGACGACTCGATAAAACAAAATGTATTCTCTCATGGGAATGAAAGATTTTCTTGTAGTTAAATGTATCCCAAATGTTGATCCGAGTAATAAGTTATCATTACACAAAATTTATTCAAAATCGGTCTGGTACTTTTTGGGTGAAACAGGACACACAAATAGACATACAGATAAACATTTTAATAACTATTGTATTCTGTACAAAATACGTTACAGTCATTGTTTTTATAAAAACATTTCATGTACAGATTTCGCTAAGTTACTGTTTTATTATATGTATAGGTAGATGTATGCTAAATTATTATGTATCTTTCCTAGGTGTGAAACTAAAACAACTATGTAATAACGGGTCCTGTGAAGACATTGGTAACTCCCATCGTTGTCACTGTCTCGACGGATACACCGGCTCCTATTGTCAGAAGGAAATAAATGAATGCGATTCAGCACCGTGTCAAAATGGCGCCATTTGCAAAGATCTAGTTGGTACCTACCAATGTCAATGTGCTAAAGGATTCCAAGGACAAAATTGTGAATTAAACGTCAACGACTGTCTACCAAACCCATGCCAAAATGGCGGGACGTGCCATGATTTAATTAACAACTTCTCATGTTCATGCCCATTCGGAACTTTGGGTAAAATCTGTGAAATTAACGTAAATGATTGCAAGCAAGACGCATGTCACAATAATGGTACTTGTATTGACAAAGTTGGTGGGTTTGAATGCAAGTGTCCTCCGGGATTCGTGGGGCCGAGATGTGAAGGAGATATTAATGAATGCCTATCTAACCCATGTTCCAGTCCCGGGACACAAGATTGTGTGCAATTGATCAACGATTACCATTGTAACTGCAAACCCGGATACATGGGACGACATTGCGACGCTAAAGTGAACTTCTGTGCAAACTCACCATGTCAAAATGGTGGGATATGTTCGGCAATCCAAGGAGGTCATGATTGCTTATGCGGTGATGGTTTCTATGGGAAAAACTGCGAGTACTCCGGCTATGCGTGTGACTCTAATCCATGCCAAAATGGTGGTTATTGTAGAACATCAGAAATTGGTGACTACGTTTGTGACTGTCCGTCAGGATTGTCTGGTGTCAACTGTGAAATTGATTCTATGAACGAATGCTTGAGCAATCCTTGCAAGCACCCAGATGCTAGATGTATAGATAAACCTGGCGATTACTTATGTTATTGTCCAAGACAATGGACCGGAAAAAGCTGTGATATCCATGACCCTCACTCACGAGGTGGATACGGAAGCCCTGTGTCTGGAGTGTTCAGTAAAAACCCTGGACTTACTCTGCAGGAGCTAGATTTAGCTTTCCAAAGAGAGACATGTGTCAAATTAGGCTGTAAAGAGAAGAGGGGTGACCATCATTGTGACGAAGAGTGTAATACGTACGCATGCGAGTTCGACGGCAACGATTGCTCCCTTGGTATAAATCCGTGGGAAAATTGCACAGCCCCGATTAAATGTTGGGAAGTGTTTATGAATGGAGAATGTAATGAAGTGTGTAATACACAAGCTTGCCTGTTCGATGGTAGAGATTGTCAGAAATCCCTCCAAAAATGTAACCCTGTATATGACGCGTACTGCCAAAAGCACTATGCCAACGGGCATTGTGACTATGGATGTAACAACGCGGAATGTAATTGGGATGGTTTGGACTGCGAGAATGAACCACCTGATCTCGCAGAAGGCGTAATGTCTGTTATTCTTTTGATGGATATGAGAACGTTCAAAGAAAATTCTGTGGCATTTTTGCGTGACTTAGGTCATCAACTACGAACAACCGTGTTGATAAAGAAAGACCATTTGGGCAACGATATGGTGATTCCATGGAAAGGCTCGACAGATGTTGGCCTTCAAGATACTGAATTTGGAAAGAAACATCAAATAGTTTATACGGAGAGGGGACAGTCGGGGGTTAAAGTTTATTTGGAAATTGATAATAGGAAATGTACATCGATGTCTGCATCAGAGTGTTTCTTCTCAGCACGTGAAGCGGCTGAGTTTTTAGCTGCAACCGCATCTAAACATTCATTGTCGCCTGACTTTCCTATTTATCAAGTTAAAGATGAAACACCCCCTGAAGTAGATAATTTACCAACAAATTTTAAATACGTCTTTATCGGGGTAATTCTAGTTCTTCTAGCTGGTCTATTAATTGGGGTGCTAGTGACCGCTCAGAGGAAACGTGCGGCTGGTATAACTTGGTTCCCAGAAGGGTTTATTCGTAATAATTCAACAACCCGTCGTCGCTCACGACGCAGGGGTCCAGATGGACAAGAGATGAGGAATCTGAACAAAGGGTCCATGGGATGTATGGATGTAGACATCAATGGTGGTCACATGGGTCCTCCCCATTGGTCTGATGATGATGATGATGGATCAGCACCACCAAGGGCCAAAAGACCTAGAGGTCCAGGAGACGCGAATGGAGCACCCGGTGGCTACGCTTCAGACCACACAGCAATCACGGACTATGAGGAAGCCAGTCATGAGTCCAGGGTTTGGACTCAACAGCATTTGGATGCTGCGGATATAAGGGTACCACCGAGTATGATGACGCCACCTGCTATCGTGAGTATATCTTATATTTATAATTGTTAAATTTTTGTTCTATATAAAATAAAGAAAAAAAAGGTAAAATTAATCGCTAAAGGCACACCAATTTTTTTTATTGTTAATCAAAATTAAATACACTTAACGCAATTTTACTAAAAATTACATTTTTTTGTTAGCACGATGGCCACGTGGATGTTAATGCAAGAGGACCTCTCGGAATGACACCATTGATGGTAGCAGCTATAAGAGGAGGTGGTCTTGACACTGGTTCTGATGTGGAAGATGAGCAGACCGCCCACATTATATCAGAGCTGGTCGCCCAGGGGGCACAGCTCAATGCTGCTATGGATAAGACTGGAGAAACCAGTCTTCATCTTGCTGCCAGGTAAGATATTATCAGTACGATTACTTTATTATGTTTCAATAGGTTTTTTATTGCGATGTTTTGTGCTTTGTAAAGTTGAGTTGCATATTAATGACATATAAAAGGCACAAACAACTAAGCAGCATTGAAATTAATATAAAAAAAATGTAACGAAACATTTTTAAATGATAAAGAATAAGCTCTTGAACAAATTATTATTTCGGTATTTAAACAAAAATAGTAGAACTTAAAAGATATTTATATAATAACTACATAGTTTCGACCCACAGCTTTGCTCGGATGGAAAGGGTTAGAAGCAAAATTACTTGCCCAAAATCAATTCTGCTGTTTCAAGATGAAAAGTTATTAAACAGACAGACAGTCATTATGTACATATCTAACATAATTAACATTTTCAGATACGCACGCGCAGACGCAGCCAAACGTTTGCTAGATGCGGGTGCGGATGCGAACTCACAAGACAATACGGGCAGGACGCCATTACACTCTGCGGTCGCAGCAGATGCGATGGGCGTGTTCCAGATTCTTCTACGGAATAGGGCCACCAATCTCAATGCTAGGATGCATGATGGCACCACCCCCCTTATTTTGGCTGCGAGGTAATATATATTTCAATAGAATTAAAGTTATATCTAAAATTAAGTTCTACATATAGTGAGTTAGTAACCATTGTTTCTGAGATTGTCTGATATGAGATGCCAAAGTAGTTTAAAGAGTTTTGTTTGTCTGTATGTTTGTTTGCTCATTAACATTTTAAAGAATAAAAGCACAACACAACTTTAATTGTGCTCTATGTAAAACTCATATTTAAATGTCTTGTATAAATTGCGAAGTAAAATGTTTAAGCGTCTTGTTTTTGTAAGATATAAAAGTAAGAATTTTTTACAAAAAAAAAATAAGCTAATTTTAGATAAATACAATGATATAAATATTGTGATATAAACGACAAATTAATTATTATAAAACCTCTGAAAGTGAAAAGAAATGCATATACTCCATGTGAACTGAAACCATGTAACAATTCAACAAATAATAAATCATCGCAGACTAACTACACTGACGTTCTTTTGATTATTAGATTAAACTGACGATTCTAAAGTGCTTATAATAAGTCTATTTGAATGAATTTTCATTACATTCATTCATTCATTGTATTCATTTATTCAAATCTCTTTCCAGACTGGCAATAGAAGGCATGGTGGAGGATCTGATCAATGCGGATGCGGATATAAACGCAGCAGACAACAGCGGCAAGACCGCGCTGCACTGGGCGGCGGCAGTCAACAACGTGGACGCTGTCAACGTTCTGTTGGTGCATGGCGCTAATAGAGACGCTCAGGATGACAAGGTGAGGGATATATGTATATATTGGCATATTGTGAAAATGTTTGTTTGTTCGTTGCTCAATCATGAGTAGGAGGACGAAACTTGTTAGTATAGAGTCCGCGAACCCGCACTTGTCCAGCGTGGTGGACTATCATGCCTGATCCCTCTCGTATTAAAGGTAGACCCGTGCCCAACAGTGGGACGTTAAAAAGGGGTGAATACAATACAATATAGATAGATTATATCTAATATAATAGATTATAAATTTTATAGTGTATGAAGTAATTCTTCACGTATTATTAGTTTATTTTCTCGTAGTATAATATATAATGTGTGTTTGTCTCTTTGGGATACTAAAATAGGTAGTATAAAAATAACTACACTTATAACTTTTGAACATTGGTTCAAATATTTCGTTGCTTAGTTTTTAAACAGTATTTTGACAAAATGGACGAATATCTCTGAAAAAAAAAATTTCTTTTGACTATAAGTTCCACTTCGCGCATACCTACATATATTGTATATCTACATATAACTGTACTATAATATCTCTAAAAATAGCTAATCTAGTTAAAAAAATTCCATTGTCCAACATTTCTAATACAAGACATTCTATTCCCAGGACGAGACACCACTATTCTTAGGCGCACGGGAAGGCTCGTATGGGGCATGCAAAGCCTTACTGGACGCGATGGCGAATAGAGAAATAACAGACCATATGGATAGACTGCCGCGAGACGTCGCCCAAGAGAGAATGCATGATGATATTGTGCGACTTTTAGACGAGCACTGTCCGAGACCGCCGCAGCATCATCATTTGATGTGTAAGTTATTGTTGAAGTTATATTTCTTAAGGCAGTGGTAGCCCAGTGGTAACGCGCTTACTTGGGAAATCGTGTAAAGCGAGTTCAAATCCCGGGTCTCGCACCTCTTTTCGTGTGCGAATCATTTCCAACATGATTACCACTTGTCTTGCGGTGAAGGAAAACATCGTGACGTAACCTGGATGTCTGAGAGAACCTAGCGAGTTTTCAAAAACCATGTGAAGTCCGCCAACTTAATTTTTTTTATATCGCAACTAAAATTTCGTCACTTATGAAGTAAAAGTATGGAAATTATTCAAGATTCTGTTTGTATTGCGAATGGGAAATCTCATCAGGCCAACTGCTTTCATATATTTTTTTTGGTTTTAAAAAAAATACCTTACTTTTGTACAGAAATTATATTATTAACAAAACATTATTAAAGTACCTCCATTTTTTGCAGCATCACCAAATCCTCATCCGCAGTTGATAAGCCAGCCCACTGTTATTAGTGCGACGGCGAACAAAGGCAAGCCCAAGAAACCTCGCGCGAAGCCTGGACCGGACAGTCCGCAGGAGCAAGCCTACGATAATAATTTACAAGCATCTCAAATACGACGGTATGTAGTCAAAATTTTTATAATATTACTAGCGACTTTGGCAGTGGTAGCCGAGTGGTTATGCCCTCGCTTGGGAAACGAGTGAAGCAGGTTCAAATACCTGGTATCGCATCTCTGATGATTTCATGTGCGAATCATTTCCAACATGATTATCACTTGTCTTACGGTGAAGGAAAACATCGTGAGTAAACTTGCATATCTGAGAGAACTTAGCAAGTTTTCGAAAGACATGTGAAGTCCGCGAACTCGCACTTGGCCAGCGCACTTGGCTAGCCAAGGCTGAATACGTAATAGTAATAGTGCGTCCGTGAGCTTGAATGGTTTACGAAGACATAAAAGACAAAAGTTCACGTTATTACTTTGATATTATTTATAGTATATTATTAGGATGTGTTCTTCACAAAGATTTTATTTCTCTGTAAACAGGAAGCCGAGTGTAAAAAAGAACAATAAGAAAGTGGCGCAAGAAGTGCCTCAAAGTGTAGAGAGTTTGGGATTCAGTCTCAGCCCTGTTGAGTCACCACTGCAAAATTTACAGGTAAATTATTTATTTACTTTAATTATTCCAGTAATATGTATAATACTATAATTTTCCAATAAGTAATTAATTTTATAATAATAAATACATAATTTAGTTTATAAATAACTATTTATGAGTGAGTTAAATTAATTGAAAAATTACTGAATATTTATTCTAGTTTCAAAATATGCTAAAATGACAATTTATTATCGATTTTATTTTAATTTTATTAATAACTTCAACTAAACCCTCGCTTTCCTTGCGTTTGTTTTTCTGTTTTAAATTTCATCCAAATCCGTCAAGCTGTTACAACGTGAAGGAGTAACAAACACACACTACACACAAACTTTTATATAATATTAGCGACTCTTCCTAGCTTCTTCGATTATATCCGGGATAAAACTATCCTATGTCCTTCCCAGAGTCTCAAACTATCTTCTTACCAAATTTCATCTAAATCTGTTCAGTAATTCCGGAGATTATTCAGTACAAGCAAACGAACAAAAAATTCCTCTTTATAATAATAGTATAGATTTAATGTTTTCATTACAATGACAATAAAATAACCTAATAGTTTCTTAGATTTACGCGAATGTTTGACATTTTAAATAAAACTATCTTTTCGGATTTCGTCGCGTCGGAAACCAAAAATCAAAATAAATTGCGTAAAAATCCGAAAGATCATTTTATTTAAAAATAAAATAACCTCTCAGGACCTACCGTCGCCGTACGACGCGACGTCGCTGTACTCCAACGCGATGGCGCAGTTTCCCCTGGAGCAGCTCGTGCAGCACAAGCAGCCGCCCAGCTACGATGATTGTGTTAAGGTAATCATTACACTTTAGTTCCCAACTTTATGCCCTCTAGAGGGCGCCATATTCAATTTAATTTGACGTCACATAGCCAGGGGATGATCACTACGCTTCCAAGGGTACCTCATTTGTCAAATTATTATAAGTAGTTTAGAAGTTATGAGGGAATTGATGAACGTACTGGTCAAAATCATAACTTTCCTGTTTGCTTTGCCGTAGTCTGATAAAAAGAGGTCGCCTTAGTGCTTATTTGTTCAAACCACATAGATAAAATTATATTCAGTCAGCTTTTTGTAAATAAAGTATGTATTTTATACCATTACAATTAAGATTTAAGTCTCTCTGTATGAAAAACGCTTCCGGTAAATTCGTCGTTTGGATAAATATGCATTGACTGACGACAACGATATGTAGTATTGGATCAGTAGTTTCACAGATAATCCAAATTGACTAACTCACAAACTTTACCTCTACATATTAATATTTTTAGTTCTGACTATCTCAGCTCAGAGATTTTCTTCTGTTAAGCCTCCCCGGAATATAAAAAATATGACCCCCCCCTGGTTAGGAAGGAGGCGTGCCCCCCTGGTTAGGAACTCATGGACTAGCTAATTATTTCTAACACGATCACTCGTCATATCGTAAAGTAAAACTCGTACGTTCGAGAGATCCTAGCAAGTTTTTAAAGGATTTGTAAAGTCCGCCAACCCGCACTTGGCCAGTGTGGTGGACTATGACCTGGAATTGAAGGGAGGCTCGTATTCTGCAGTGAAACATTAATAATTGTTGTATACATTTATTTATAATTTATTTTCTTTAAACTTTCTTAAGCAAGGATTTTAAATGGTAACAAAATTATTTGACGATTTGTACGTGATTGATTGATATTGTCTAGCATTGGTTACTAATAATAAAATTAATTGATAATCAAAATTATTTGTTCATTACACGCATTTTGTTTGTGTTATATTATAATAATATGCTTATAATATTAATGTGTTAATTATTGACAGACGGGCCAAACACTGCAGTACAGCGGCGGGCTGGGCGCGTCGTTGTCGCCGCCATACTCCAACCACTCGCCCACGCACAGCAACCAGACGACCTCCCCACACGCGTATATAGGTAATATATTCAGTTGTTTGTTTATTATATAATATTGTGAAGGGTATAACGCTTTTATGGCCATTTTTATAATAAGAATTATGGATAGAAGATAGATAAAAACTTTGTTTTACATATAAAGATTTCAGAACACACAGAGAGAGAGAGATATTTAAACGAAAACAAGAGCAATTTAATGTTGAAGAGTTTTACGTTTATTTGATATTTCAGACTTGAGTATATTCATTGCAAATTCGATCAGGAAGTTTTTAGAAATTGGCAATTTAATTTCAAATTTAAATAAACTTAATTTAAATTAATGTACTAAATTATATCTATATTCATTATTACCACGTATGAGGGTAACATAATATTCGCTTTGTCAAAAAATCTGTCTTTAAAATAAAAATATTTCCATATTAATGTAAGACATTGCGTGAGCAGGGTCCCCGTCGCCGGGCAAGGCGCGGCCGTCGCTGCCCACGTCGCCGGCGCACATGGCGGCGCTGCGGCACCACCACCTCGACGCGGCCGCCTACTCTGCGCTTGCGCACCTTAGTGAGTGCTCTTACATTATTACATTATTTACTAGCTACAAGATACTTTAACGCTTAGTATGGAATAGATAGACTATATTATATACATACATATTACATAGGTGTGATGTGTTTTATATCTCTTGAGAAATGATTGATCCCCATACAAACTTCCACAGCCTTTTCATCCCTAAAGAAATTATTTTTGGGATAAAAATCTACCCTATGTCCTTTCCAGGGTCTTAAACTATTTTCCTACCAAATTTCATCTAAATTGATTAATCAAATTAAGCATAAAATGGTAACAGACAAGATGGATGGATATCAATAATTATCTTATTAAATACATAACAATGTTAAAGCATACATATTTTTATATACTAATAACAAAATGTGTCCGTCTACAGGTGCGAACGGGCAACATAACGCGCAGCTACAGGCGGTGATGACGCACGCCGCGGCGCTCGGGCAGGTGCAGGGCGCGCAGCATCCCGCCATCACCAATATCATGTCCGGTGAGTGGTTTCAGATATTTTTCAAGTGTTAGGAGATAGTTTTTTAGGATACTTTCTGTTTTAATAAAATTAGATGATAAAGTTAGTTATGTTGATTTAAATGTAAAGAAATAGATATTTTGTTAATTATGTATAATCTTTTTTTTCTTAAATTATTATTTTCTCCAGTAGTAGTATAGTATACCAGGGACTCATCCTCGCTTCTCTCGGGTTCATCCCTAGATATGTTTTACATTAAAATGAATATAGTATGTTATCCTTAAGAAATAGACATATGCCATCGCGGACTTTTCTGTAGACCTATATAAGATAAAATTCCACCATACCTTAAGTTTAACTTTTAAGCTATTTTTATTTAATCTATTTGTAACAAAACTAAATACAATTTTCTTCCCCAGGTCTCTACGGCAGCTGGGGTATGGGGGACACGTTCCCCACCCCCTCCCCCGAGTCCCCCGACCACTGGTCCACCCCCTCCCCCCAGACACCCCTCACACAATCCCCCCACTCTGATTGGTCGGATCGCGCCGCCCTCTCCCCCAACGACATTCAACAAACAAACAAAGGGGCGACTGAAGCGTTTTATATATAATATGTAGTGGTGTTGGACTGCCTTTTTGAGATTTTCAATTCTTAATGTGTCTATATATGGAAGTTATTTTTTTTGTGTTATCAAATTCAATGCCAAGTTTGATGTCATATTTTTTTGTTAAATTAAGCGGTTGAACTGTGTGTAACTTGTCGAGCTATAAAATATCCACAGGATAGATGTAACGCCATTTCGTATATCTCTTTCTTACACATGTTAAAATGTTTGGCTAGAAAGAGACGAATGTATTGATGCTGATTATAAACGCTCGGAAGATTATTTGAAAATAGCGCCTTGTAAATTCTGTACGAATCGTAAAAGTAGATTACCTAGTTGATATTTTGGAAATCTCAAGGTGCTAGAGTGCCGTAGAAGATAGACTGATTTGTATAGCCATGACGTAGCGTAGCTTGTGAAAATCCCATGACAATACTCTTGGTGTATTTCTATAGGTTTAAATATGTGAAACTATATGTATGACATTTATTATATATTTAATATACTTCTCTCTGAATGTAAAAGATCGCATTTTATAAAAAAAAAACAAATGTCAAAACTGTTGACGTATTATAAAGTGTCAGTGAGCACAGACTATATACATTTTTAATATTTAAAATAAGAAGCGATTTTGAACGGTTATATTATTTTAATAATGTGTATATTTTTAAATAATATAACGTACCGAACGAACAAATGTAATGTAATGGCTGCCATAATCGATTTTTCGGTTTTTAATATCGATTCATTATAATCGCTTGTATCGAAATACACTCGGCCACGACACGAACGGACACCGTGAGCTAATTGTTATTGTTATACATATGTGTTTTTATTCTTGTTTACAATATATTTAAATGGGAAATATCAACTTATGAGATTGTTTTGCGTACTGACGTGAGAAATTATTTATGTGTGATTCTTTAGCACGTAATGTACTGTATTGTAGATTTTTTTATAATTATAAGTAAATTTTATAGTTTTAGCTAAGTTATAAGTATCTGGGATTGACGCTTGTTATTTTATGCAAATTGTAATATTCGAACACTTATGTGTGTACGGCAGGCTTCGATCTCAGTTTTTTTAATTAGATTTTGTTTTCCGCTTTACAATCATTCCATTTTTGCTTCCATATTGTTATGTTTGAAGGTGACTTGAAAGTGACACGCGCAAGAAATGGCAATTAGTATTTTAAATGATAAAGTGAAACGTTGAATTAAGTTATTTATAATTATTTCCTTTCTATCAAAAGTCACCTTAAAACAAATGTGTGTCTATTCCAAAAGTACGGTATTACGTACAGTAAGATCTCATCATTCCATTATCGCTTTAACATGTCGGGACCATATGCTCAATTTTGTTAGAAAAATCAAATTCATTCATGTATTTGTATTATATTAATCGTAAGATGTTTTAATTAAGTTTTTAAAACTGCTACCCACGTCAACTTCGCCTATATTGTAAATAATATTTAATGAAACTCGAATTTTGAAGGATCTTCGTAGTTTTTATAGGTTTAGCTATAAATTTTTTTTCTCTGTGTCATTGTTATGTGCCAATGAGCCAAGTGTTTTATTTCTCGAAGGTAAAAAACCTAGATTCCAAGCTGGTTGTTTAAAGACATCAACAGATAAAATATGTTAGTGATAATTGTGTACTATTAGTAAGTAGGGTACGTTTAATGAAACGCGTGCTTCCCTTAAATGCATTCATTTATAGATAAAATATAAGAATAAAGGTTAAAAAGTGTAGGAAAAATTATTTTAAAGTACAAAATTACTATTTAATTTTCGATGACAAATTAATAAAGTGTTAGGCACAATAATTTATTTCATTACCATTTGTGGCATTTTTTTTTAATTAAAAAAAGTTAATGTAATCTTGGCACATTGTTAAACGAGTAAATGCATGTAAAGTAGGGCACATATATTATATTTTCTCTGCGTGCCTTCAAATTTTAAGTATTGTAATAAACTATTACGTATAGTTTGAGGTCTTTTTAGCGTAAGGCGAGTGTAAATACGTTTTTATCATTATTTTTATGAAATGCATTTCATTGTAAGATTCTAAATTGTGGAGAATAATTTTTAAATATTTTCCCATAACTGACAATAAAGGAATAAAATTTATTATTGTTGTTTTCTTCATTTTTACCCAAGTATTTTAATCATCTAAATTTATTTTATACGCTTTGACGATACGTTTGGCTCAGTCTGTAGTGACTACTTATTGTGTCAACTTACTGTGCCAGCGGTCGCGAGTTTGAGTCCCGCTGGCGGCATTAATTTGTGTTATGAGCACGAATGTTTGTACATCAGCCATGGGTGTTTATATTTATAATATGCATGTGTTTAAAGTTATATACATTTGTACATTGCACATTACACTACTATCTGGTATCCATAACACAAGCTTCGTATCTTACCATGGAACTAGATGGTGCTGTGTATTAATGTTCCAACATATAATTTTCATAGATATTAAATTTTAGTAAAATTGAAAAAGCTACTGTCATCAAGAAAATATTAATGGCATTTAAAAGCTAAGAACATGAGTCTTAAGTGATTTGTTCTACAAAGTAGTACATTCGATTACCTTCTGAAAGTTTAAGATTCTTCTACAAAGTTCATTGAAAAATATTAGGTCTAAGATAATGACAATTTTGAGAATTCTTGACTATCCTTCCTGTAAGATAATTCTTTAAGCTGTCTATATTAAACTTTTTTCCTTTATGTAATATAAACACTAAATTATATAGACGGAGCCTGCAAAAAAAGTGTCAAAGTCAAAAATAGTTGCGTGATTTTGCTGTTTATGCTACTATTCTCATATAATAGATGGGACTGTTGGGCACTTTCTTTAAAGAATAAGGGAAATTTTATGAGCTTATTTGTCGTTAATTTACAATTTTTGAGAAGAACATAAAAAATAATAAAAATAATACTATATTCTTTTGTATTTATTTATTACTAGCATTACCCGCGGCTCCGTCCGCGTATAGATGACCAGAAACCAAATTCTTAGGTTTTACATATTAGTATACCTTTACATAGTAGTTTTTGTATTTTTTCTCAGAAATGAGACATTTTTCCGCGGTAAAAAGTATCCTATATGTTGACCCGGATAACCAGCTATCACCATACCAAATTTCATCAAAAATCACTTCAGTGGTTTTTCTGTGATGCGGTAACAGACAGACAGACAGACAAAAATTCTAAAAACTATAGATTCGGCCTCTGTATCGATAATAATGTCTATTTTAAAAAATATTTAATGTACAGATTCGACTCAGCTAGAATTTTATTATATGTATAGATAAATAAAAAAAAACCGACAGCTATTTTTATTTATTAACATTTATTGCAGTAATGAGTAGGTATTCTAATAATATTGTAAACTATTTTAAAACATTGTTTAGCTTCATGTTACAACATGTTATGTACTCAGTATTAGCAACATTCCAACTACGTACAGTGTAAACTACAATCTGAGTATTTTTTTGATATGACAGAACCCGTTATAATATGTTTCAAAGTACCCACACATAATTTAAACTTTTTATTTATTATAAAAATTCTTTGAGTATTTGTTGAATAGGTGACAGTTAGCTTCATTAATATCGTATTGATTTTGATAAAATTGTGTAAAATAGTGCATAACTTGAGGAAGTCTGAATTATGTAAATTTTTAATACCTAAATGATTTTGAACATTGCTAGTAAGTATTACGAAGCATTGTAAATATAAAATAGTTTGATACTTTAATTTTCATTGAAATATTTTACACTAGCGACTCACCCTCGCTTCGCTCAGGTTCGTCCCCTAGGTACGTTTTAACGGTTAGTATGAAATACAAATCTTTGAATTTCTCGGCTATTCTGTGCTATAATATGCATGTATTTTATATATAAACCTCCCTCTTGAATCATTCTATCTATTAAAAAAAATCGCATCAAAATCCGTTGCGTAGTTTTAAAGATCTAAGCATACATAGGGACAAACAGACAGCGGGAAGTGACTTTGTTTTATACTATGTAGTGATACTTAAGTTTATTTAATAAAAAAGCTTATAAGCTTTATTGATCTAATTAAATTCAAAACTTAAGCTGCGATGAGTAAAAATACTTGAACAAACAAACTCACAAAAAGTTAAAGAAATATATATTTAATATAGATTATCTATTTATATTTTATACGTTACGCAATTGGTATATGAAATAATAACGAAACTACCAGTAAACAGTGGGGTTACAGCCACGAGGCGACACTACAACGGGATGGTGGGTCGCTGGGACAGCCATGACCATAGTCACCATAGCCACCATAGTGGGCAACAGTGCGGTGATGATGGCCCTCTGGAGAGTGAGGAGGGCTCCTTCTCATTACCCCTTAACTAGCTTGGTGTTTGCTGACCTGATGGTAGGATTGATGGTTCAACCGTTAGCTGCTGCAAGGGAGCTTTTTGTGTTTAACCTAAGTAAGTTAGCTTTTTGAACTTTTTATGTACACTTGATACAGATTTGCCGAAAAAAAACCGTGAAACAGCTAAAACTTACAATACAAATATAATTATTATTAGGTAGCTCTCTATTAATCCAGGACTTATTAAAATCGGTTCAGTAGTTTCAGAGTTTATTAGCTGCAAGCGAACTAATCCTTCCTCTTTATAATATTTTAGCCCAGATTTAGAGTTTTGATGGTGTTCACCTATTCGTGGTCCCAGAGGATCAAGTTAAGACGTTATACGCGTGATCTCTCACTAATTGTGTTAAATTTTCGTTCCACTGTATACGAGAGCTTAAAAATAGAAAGTGCATGATATGAGTATTATATACAAGCATTGCACATTAGGTCTTGTACGCTGGTAGTAAGCTTTAACGTAAGCTTGACTGATTTTAGTAAGGTTTATCGCTGAAACAGAAATCTTTAAGGAGAATATGATTGCTCACCTCCATGTAAATTTCTAAGAAATTAATTAAAATTCTAAGAAATCTATTGTTAACTGACACGTCGGCGTGTCCGCGGTCGTGGAGGGATTAAACTGTATAACTGGAGGATAGTCTGTGATCCATTAGTGAGTTTTAATTTAAGATAAGTAATGAACTCTAAATCTTGTGTAGGTGAATCGGTATTTAATTATTTCAAAAATAATAACAGTTTACAAAAATAAACGAGACAGTAAGTTAATAGTATTTTGATGCAATTTTTATACAATTTAAAATAAAGGTTATTTATTAAAATAAAATATTAAGGTTATATCCTTCAAGTAAAGTTAATCTCATTTATAAGTGATAATTTAAAAATTAAATTATTTCTAGATCGTATAATCTGCGCATGTTGGAGCACATTAGATGTGTTATGCTGCACAGCATCCATCCTCTCGCTGTGCGCTTTGGGCTGGGAGCGGTGGTCTGGTATCACGGCTCCTCTAGCTAGAGCCCGGCGAGCGAGAAGGGCCAGGCTACTTGCGGTGCTAGTGTGGCCAGTCGCTGCGATAGTGGCCTTGCCTAACGCCTTTATACCCTCCCCAAAACACTTTCATCCCGGTGAAATGGAAAAGGCTTGTTCTGTTAATATTAATACTGGGTGAGATTTTTTGTAGGTTTTTTAATAATTTTTGATATATTGATCGTAAATATTGCTTTAGGTTAGACTTAAATAAATATTGTATAAAAATACTTACAGTATAATTAATTCGAAATGGTAAAAAATGACATTATTTACATTTTATGAGAGTTACGAGTGGGTATATTATTCCTTCATTAAGGTTCGGCAGCAGTTATCCTTGTAGTTTCAATTCAGTTTTTAACTATAACCGTGTAAAATTTTTGTGATATTGTACAAGATATTTCTTTACAGATACGTGTTCTTCAGCATAACATTTTCGTTCTATATACCAGCGAGCATGTTAGTGACGATGTATGGTTACATACTGCGGGCACTGTCTGCTCCCCCTCCGATACGCGCCCACCGCGGCCGCACACCTTGCCCTAGCAGACACGTAATAACTATTATAAACTTATACTAACGTTATAATTCATAAATAGTTTTTGTTTGTTTAAATTGTTAATCTTCAAAGCTAACAAGTCATTTCAAAGAATTCTTTTTGTAAAACCTTACGCCTCACTACGTATAAGCGTGTTCGGAATCGAAGGCAAAAGATATGTTTTTACTATATTTAGGTACTTATTATAATAAATAAGCGACTATGTAATTATGATCTTCAGTATAATATACTATCGACTTTTCGTTTCGCTCACGAAACTTAATATATACTGAGTTACGAGTACTACTCGTATATCTTCTGCATTTATTATTAAAGCAATGTCTCCGGCACATGCCTCACTAAAGTGATAATATTTAGCAATAGTCTTGTCAAGAATTATGTAAACACAAATATGTAATAATATTTCATAGAAATATTGACCGGGTGTTTTAAAAATAGCATAAAACTTTGTTTTGATAGAAAAATAATTTATTTAACAGCTTTCATCAGTAAATCCTATGACAAAATGTGCACCCTCAAATTCTGAAGACACCAATAACAACCAAAACCAAAATTCACCAATGTGAGTAAAACCTTATAAAAAATTATATCTTTGAAGCCATTAACTAACAAGTAAATTGAGCTGAAGTGAAAAATTTAAATAGCACGTTTTTAATGCAATAAGCATGTAGGTATAACATGTTTACATTTTAATTTTTCAGGAATATATCCCTCAAAGGACAAAAATTAAACGTCCCAACTACAAACATGGCTTGCACTGCTTCGACTACAGGAAAATGCAGTCATCAGTAAGATATTTTTTAATTGTAAACTAAATTTTCAACTGCTGTTAATTTAGATTTTGAGGAACAATTTACACTATAAAAATAAAAATTAACCTTCACGATATACATATATAACTTTTTTTTATTAAACGACCAATGTATGATTTGCGAAAATATTTTTATTTTAGTATAATGTTATTTTAGTGACATACAGATATAAATACGAAATTCTTTAGAATGATTTTTTAATAATGCATATTATGTGATACATTTTAGTGAAAGTTTCATCGACCGTCAGCGTCGTGCAACACGAACAATTGTAATGTTGATGGCCCTGTTTCTCATCTGTTGGACGCCTTATTTTGTAATACTGCCTTTAGGTAAGACAATATTTACTTACATTTTAATCTTTAAACTTTAGTAACAAAAAATGTTTTATATGAATACAAAAGAAATAAATACTTACATAAATTATTATTATAGAATTATACATATATTCTCAGTACATTTGTTCAGTAATTTCTTTATCTGTCATGAATGTTACATCGTTTTCCGTATCGTCATTATACTTTTTCTCTAGCAAGAATCGAATTTATATACTAATAAAATACCCTTAAATTTATTTCATTATACAAAAATTTTATTCCAGATTCTCTCTACGACTGTATTTGGGAGACGACATGGCAGTGGTGTACTTGGCTGGGCTATATTAACTCGGCGTTAAACCCGCTCGTGTATGCGGCCGCATCCCCCAGTGTGAGGAGGGCCTTACATACATCGTTGACGAGCTCTGGGTCTCGAAAAGTTGATATTCCTTTGACCGTCAGAAGAGGATGAGGTAAGGAAACCAATCTCGTTCGTGTCTTCTCAATTGGCAAAGTAATCTGTGCTTAACTGGCACGCTTTGAAGCTATCTATACAGATAATTAAAATTGAAGTGTCTGTTTGTAATGTCATAATAACAGCTTTTACTAAATGCATATACGGTACTTATAAGAAAAACAATTTTTGCGACGATTTTTTTAACGACTGAACTGATTTTGACGAGACTTTCACTGGCAGATAGCTGATGTTATAAGGAGTAACTTAGGCTACTTTTATTTTAGAAAAATAATTTGAATTTAATTTAAAAGATTAAGGGAAAAATATAAAAAAATGGAATTTAATAAAACACAGCATTAAAATAAATATCCTTTATTTACATTCGATTAGTTCGTGTACATATCTTTGGCATAATCTACCCATTCAAATATCTGGCTTTAACATCAAAAATTGCACTCAAAATACTGCCTTCATTCAGTGGAAGCTTTAGAACTACGCTTAATTAAAATTTACAGAAAAACAACAAACAACAGTGATAATATTATTTACAACTTATCATAGACTTTATAACCAACGAGAAACAACAATGCCGCTTTGTGCATAAATACCATCGATCAAAAAATTACTAGATACACAATCTCATGCAAAAGTTCTCTTGAAACTGTCACCAATTGTGTTTAGGTAATTATTCCAGTTGAAATAAATATACAACAATGTAATTGAACCTTAAATGCAATGCTTAAAGTTGTTTTCACACAAAAAAACTACGCTCAAATGTTCAAATGAGCGCACATTCGGTGAGGACATTTTTTGACGCTGACTGTGTATCTACTTCTTTTTTGATCGTTGACAAATATAAATTTTCTTAATAATATTACGTAATATATGTATGTATGTATTTTATTTTGTTTCCTTGAATTCGAATGGAAGCAGCTTATAATGTAAATATTGAAGGAACTTGTACATAGTATTCTACATACTTTTAACACTGGATTATTTTTACAGGTTATAGAAAACCATAAAAAACATTACAACAGCTATATAAATCGAAATAACGTAATCGTAACCTGGAACAAACTTCCCGAAACTATTGAAAACAGTTAAAAAATGATCAATCAAAATGGCGTCACAAGATGGCCGCTAGCGAGCTAAAATGGCGGCGATGGATAAGATGGCGGCGGCAAATGGCGGAGCGATAGTGCTTGCTCCACCAAAATCTCTCGCATCTGGAGTACAAGTCTTGCATGTGCAGCGACCGGAGAGACAGTAGCCCGGCTCGTTTTCTTCTGATACGCATTCCTTTAAATATAAATTTTAATGTTGTAATAAATAATTTAATTAGAGTTAAGAGTAATTAATTGGTTTAATAAAAAATGATATATTTGGGACGTTAATGTATTACTATAGTACCAAAAAATTCTCAAATTTTAACAAAACAAGCTTAATTAAATCAAATCAGATGATGTATAAATTTCTTATCTGTTTAAAAAAAGTATTATGTAAAGTTTAACGTACTAAGAATAGCTTCAGATATTTTTAAGAAAAGAAGGTAAAGTTTAAAATAAAATATATACAGTAACAAAACATAATATAGCTCTTACGAAATATAAAATAGAAATTGACAAAAATAAACCTATCCTCAATCCTCAATCATCCTCCATCCCGGGTCTCGCACCTTTGATATTTTCATGTGCGAATCATTTCTAACATGATTACCTTAACGGTGAAGGGAAACATCGTAAAGAAATCTGCATGTCTGAGAGAATCTAGCAAGTTTTCAGAAGACATGTGAAGTCCGCCAACCCGCACTTCAGCGGCGGCAGCGTTCAGTCCAGCGTGGTGGACTATGGCCTGATCCCCTCGTACTGAAGGGAGGCCCGTGCCCATCAGTGGGACGTTAAAAAGGGCTGAATATCATTAACTCACCTCATCTCTAGTACACTCCTGTCCCGGTCGTTTCCTTCTCCAACATCGTGGGGGATTTCCCACGGCTCGTGCGTCATACGCGCATGCGCAAGTACCGCCCAAACATAAAGCAGCACCCGGCGAAGGCGTCTCCGGTACACCGGCCAATGCGTCACATTGAACATCGTATTGACATGGGTCTTCTATTGCTTTTGCGGCTATTGGAAGAAAATTAAGTATTATATTATAAAATTGTTATAGTAAATAAATAAAATCTATACATATAATAAAATTGTAACGAAGTCGAATCTGTACATTAAATATTTTTAAGAAAATCTAATTGAAATAGACATTATTATCGATACATTTTATCATCTACATTTATTTTATCGAATTTTTGTTTGTCTGTTTGTCTGTCTGTCTGTCTGTCTGTCTGTCTGTCTGTCTATCTGTCTGTCTGTATGTTACCGCATCACGAGAAAACCACTGGACAGATTTTGATGAAATTTAGTGTGATGATAGCTGGTTATCCGGGTCAACATATAGGATACTTTTTACCGCGGGAAAATATCTCATTTCTGAGAATAAATACAAAAACTGCATTGTAAGAGTACACTAATATGTAAAACCCAAGAATTTGGTTTTTGGTCGTCTAAACGCGGGCGGAGCCGCGGGCAATGCTAGTTATAATTAAATATGTGGATATTAACACACAGTACCATGTAGTTTTATGGTAAGTTTTTGGTCGTCTGAACGCGGGCGGAGCCGCAGGCAATGCTAGTTATAATTAAATATGTGGATATTAACACACAGTACCATCTAGTTTTATGGTAAGCTATCGAACCCGCGACGACTATCACAGCAAGTACAAACTGAGCCAAGCGTGTCGTCAACTAATATGACTAAATAATTATAATTAGTCCAGTAGCACGCTCATATGGAAAACGGCAGGCAAACACGTTCCAAACCCTCTTTCTTTTTCCTTTCTTACCTGTAAATTTTTTCATGTGAACGATAAAGAAATATATCGCGAAGAAACATGTATATCTAAAAGAGAACCTAACAATATTTTGACGGACATTTGAAATCGGTTAACCCGAACGTGATCTAATTCTCCTTGCACTAAGTGATGGCCAGTGCCCAGCATTGGGACGACTAAAAAGATTTTATTAATTTTTAAATAATTACTTTTTTGGAGATTGGAGTAATATATTATGATAATATTTATATAAACATTCAATATATGAAATAAAGAATCACAAAAACAACAACAAACTATCTTTTCGTCCGTTTTTTTGCGGATTTATTTTGATTTTTGGTTTTTCGTTTCGAATGCTTTTGGGAGAAACTCTCCCGTTACCATGATTTCTGTAAAGCATTTTTCATTAAAAATGTCGAATTATATGAATTAAAATTACCTGTAAAATAATCATTAGTAATTAAAAAAATAAACATTTCCAGAGCTTTGACAAATAATTAAAACAAACTGTAAATACGACATACATTCAACACAAGCGTTGATATCTTGATAGGCGACCCAATTGTCCTTGCAGCGACAGGTGCCGCGACACTCGAGCCCGACCCCCGCGCACTGCAGCTCGTCTTCACACGCTTCACCCAACACAGCGTCTCGGACACATCTGTTGTAATTGTAAACTTTTATTAAATAATAATTACTTTTTAATTCAAAATGACTTAATGCGAGATTTCAGAAGACTGTTGTGTCAACTTGCTGAGTTTCGCATAAAATGTTCAAATGGGTTGAAATCTTGGGTCTTGCATGGAACATGCATTTGCGAATTATTTCCAACTACTTGCTAACACAATATGAGGAAACCTATATGTCACGGAGAATTTAGGAAGTTTTCAAAAGAAATGTGACAGTGTGGAGGATGGCTGTGGCTTGGTGCCCGTATTAAAGAGAATCTTGCCCAGCAGTGGGACGTTAATAAGCGCTTAATAATACATAATTATAAATAAATTTTTAGTCAATAAATTTTTAGTATAGTCATAGATGGCACCATTTGCCTATTCGAAGACCAAAAAACCGTCAACACTACATAAACTCACCTAGTGCCATTGTCCCTGGGACTGAACTGCAGCTGGCAGGTGCAGTAGCCGCGCACACAAAACGCTTGTCGCTCCGGCCCTTGTTCACCCAAATAGCAATTTTGGTCCACAACACATCGCTCGCCAATCACTAAAATATGAATATTATCTACATAAATCACTAATTATTAATCTGCTAACTTTGTTTATATATTTGAACGCTAATTTGTTAGGATCAGGATATATAAAGTTATTAAAGTCTTTTTAAAGACCTATAATACCTAAATTTTCATTCCCCCTCAAAGTACATGGAGTGTATCCCTAAATTTCTATTTTACTTCAGCAACTTAAGCAGTTCACATCAGACATTTATCTACCTTCCAAATTTAAGAGTAAAATGACTGTGATAGACGGACATGACGAATTTCCGTGTTTGTCATTTGTCATGAAAATCATAAAAACGGTCCTTACGCGCAGTTTCATAGCAGCGATCGGTCTCTAAATGCGCGGTGGATGCGCAGGCGCAGATACCGTTGATGCACTCAGAGTGCACACCCATTGTAGAGTGACATTGTATATGTTGCACACACTCTTCACCATTGCGCGCCTCTGGAAAAATAAAGGTAATAATGAAAGCGCTTTTTATATGAAAATTACTAACAATTTTAAACGTTGTAATGTAGCGTAACATCGTAATAATTTTAAATTTGAAAATATCCTTTATAAAATATTAAAAAAAATCAGTCAAAACCTTGAAATTTTAAAGAGTAAGTGCTACGTGTATAAAAGGGTCAGTTAAATGCACATGATATACTGATCACTGACATGTTATAAAGCGAGAGTAGTTTACAAGAATTAAATTATTATTTACCAAAGTGAATAAAGAAAGACCTGCTTAATAAATATACGCACATATTTGATAAAATTATGTGTAAAATATTTGAAGAATATAAAAAAAAACCCACCCTTCAAGCATCCCTTATGCGTGCTATTAACAGCTGCGTACACGAAGCCATCTTTGCACACGCAGTAACTGCTCTGGCGACAGAACGCGTTGTCTGGACATTCAATATCCACGTGACATACGTTGCCTGTTCTACCTGTAAGAAAATGTATATTTTTTAATATTTTCTTAGATTTACGACATTGTAAATAAAACTCTCTTCTTTTAGTTTTTTTTTTCGCGGACTTATTTTGATTTTTGGTGCCCGACGTTTCCAATGCTTTACAGTTTATAACAATCATGGTCACGGGAGAGACCAGTCATGAAAAAAATATAGTTTTAATTAAAAATGTATTTGTTAAATGAAAGTTAAAATAATAAATCTGTTTGAGTTATAGCCATTAAAATCTTATCTTATTTATTAGTGTGAAGAAAATTGGGGACTCTAATTATGTTTTTTCTACTTATTTTTGGAAGAGTACAAAAATAAGTTTTGGTTGAAATTAATAAACTTAATTTTTTACGTGGTATTAGTATGGCTTGAGAGTAACACATGTTACTTTTTATATTGGTATATACAAGTAGAGCCCATGGCACAATATTCTAATCTATACTAATAAATGGAGATCCGAATTTTTTGTTCGGTTATACTGCGAAAACTACTGAATCGATCGGAATAATACTCATACCATAAGATACAGCGTGTTTCGGAGAAGGTTTTAGTATTTGATGCGTTGGTGATTAATGTACTATGCGGGCGGAGCCGCAGGAAAACGCTAGTATATATCCAAAATATGTCAAGTCTCACTGAGATTGGCCTCTATAGCTGAAATTGTTTTCTAAATATATAGTCACAAAACAAAATATAGACATGATATTATTATATATGTACCTACTATATGAATCACAAAAGAGTTATCGCATGAAATGCATGCGAAAATTTCTAAATTGATAATAGGTACCCGATTTCCCAACAGTCGTACATTTCAATGTAACAATGAGCTAAATTGCGCTTACAGATGAGCATCGTGCCTATTATCTGACCACTCGGTATTTATTTGAAACAATACAAACAATAGCGCTATAACAATTGGACAAAAGAATATTATTATCTAAATTTTATTCACGAATTATCATCAGTGTACTCAATTTTATGGCTGTATCATTAAAAAAAATTACAATGTCATTTCTTTAAAGCTACTGCATATTGAGCTGGAATGATTATTTCCACGTTATCAAAGTATATTTTTATCCGCCAATAAGTGAGTGGTTAAACATCTCTTGGATTTTCTCTAACAGGAAGGTTGAAATGAAAAGGACATACAAGGTATAAACAGCAAATTAGGTTTTATATAACTGATATAAGTAGATCCGGTAAATTAAAGGCATATTAGCGTCAGGTTAGCCAATTATGACATACAAAACAGTATAAAAACTACGAGTTGAGGTGTTTACATTTTTCTTTCTAATACGTAAATTTAAAGATATGTTGGTACTCCAGATATGGGTGTTTATATTTATAATATGTATGTATTTAAAGTTATATATGTGTAGTGTATCAACTATCTGGTATCCATAACACAAGCCTCGTAGCTTACCATGGAACTAGATGGTGCTGTGTGTTAATGTACCAACATATTTCACCATCACCATAGATTACATAATATGTACATAGTATACTAGTACAATCACTTTGCATACATGTATGTAAAGTTAGAAACACATACACCAAAACGGCACCACTGATTTTGATTTATATATTTGGTAGGTATGAGAATAGGTCGTAAAGTATTTTTCAACCTCCTACGTCCACCCCCATTTATTAAGTAACTAAGGGCGAACCAGAGCGGAGCGAGGGTGAGTCACTAATAAGACTATCGATAGTAAGATGAGTCATAAGTATTCGAATGGTTCTAAACTTCACATGGTTAAAATCGACCTCCGAGACTAAAAAAATCGATTACAAAAAAAAACTATTGACAACAAAATTATCATTATAATATATTATGTATACTCGTAACCTTGAAGCTAATATATAAGGAAATAAATGAGAAACATGGCTAGTTAATAAGTCAATTATATAGATTTAAATAAATATGGCTATTCATGCAGTTTATTAATGATTCTAATTTTGCTCAACAAGGTATTCATTATATTATTATGTTGGAATTTTTCATATTGGAATTCTTTAAATTTAAAAAATCGGTCAAGTGCGAGTGGAATCCGCACACGAAGGGTTCCGTACCCGAAAGGTGCCAACGGAACCCTATTACTATGCTTCCCCTGTCCGTCCGTTTGTCTGTCAGAGGGCTGTATTTCATGAACTGTAATAGGTAGAGAGTTGAAATTTTTACAGAGTGTGTATTTCTATTGACGTTATAACAACAAGTAATAAAAATATAAGAAACATATTTTTAACGTTCGTATCGATCATCGAAGTTAATATACTACATATGTAGAGTAACGTCATATTAATAAAAATCGGTCAAGTGCGAGTCGAACTCGCACACGAAGGGTTCCGTGCCATAGTACATATAGATACTTTTTATTAGAGTTTAATAAATTATTTATAATAAATTATTTTCATACATTTTCTTTAAGATAATTTTTCATTATGAAGTTACAAAAAATATATGTAGTATATATATTTGTATTCTTCAAAACCTTCTCTCCTCTCTTGGTCTTTTTGTTTTATGGTATTTTTAATTTTATTTTTTCATATTTTTACCCCAAAAATAAACTCAGACTGAGTTAACTATATATAAGCACAATTCTGAAAGTCACACGAACATACATACATAATAAAAAGAGTCTCATTCAACATTTCATTTCGGGACTGTGGTAATTTCAATAAATGAACAAACGCTGAGTGAATATGTAAAAGGAAAAGGTTCTGAATTCTAGTTTGTATTTATTATTTTATACTTTGCTTATATTAGGCGATATTGTAGTCGTAAAAATACCTTATAAATCATGACAATCATGATTTATAAGGTATTTTTCCCTCAAGGTGAGGTCTACGTGATTTTGAAGTAATAGTATACCCACTATATAGTAAAAATGAATTTATTCTATGTTGTGTTTGTTTCTTCTTATGACATTGTCGAGGCTTACATATATAATTATGTATGTAAAGTCTAATTTTTGATTCCACGGAAATATGACAGCTGTCATTCTTTGACAATTCAGATATCATAAACCTTTTCTGCTTTGATTTTTTTTAATATAAAATAACAAAAAATATGAAACAGAATTAGATCTATTAACTATATGTATGACATTGTAAATAGTCTTTGTTTTGTGCATTCAATACACACTAGCTATAATGTATATTTTTAATGGTTAAATGAATAAAACGGAGTAAAATAAAATATTTTACAAACAAAGGGGTTTTACTAAAAAAGGCTTGCAACCTATGGATTATTGGACAGGGATTCCAGTAATAGAAAAATAATTTCCTTAATAATTATTGTAACTTTAATAATATGATAATAAAAAAATAATTACCATTTTAGAGTTAGGTATGAATAATTTTTTAAGTCTTAGTTTTTCTAATTGAAACTTATTTTTGTATTTTGCTAAAATGCTTTTCGTTTTTAGTGACAATGTTTCAAAGTTGACAACACTTCTGAAATGTCAGAATTCCGTCGAATTAAAACTTAGACTTTAGATAAGTATTTCACAGAATGCAGGACTTATGTTTTATGACATTCATAACAATTGAAAGTTAATAAGTAAATAACAAAAATTTTATAATCAGATTCAAGTTTCAGGGCAACAGTAGTTATGTATTTGATTTCAATGCGACGCGACGTCTGGATACAAGTGCTTTGTAAACAGGCGCGGAAATATGAATATGAATGCTTACGAGTGCCTACTCGCGCCGTCTAGTCATTACATACTTATATATTTTTATGTGAATGTTTGTTTGTTTAACTGTTTGTAATGAATGTTATCCTATAACAATGACCCGATTACGTATTCAGCCCTTTTTAATGTTCCACTGCTGGGCACGGGCCTCCCTTTAGTATAAGGGGAATCAGGCCATGGTCCACCACGCTGGCCAAGTGCGGGTTGGCGGACTTCACATGTCTTTTGAAAACTTGCTAGGTTCTCTCAAACATGCAGATTTCCTCACGATATTTTCCTTCACCGTTAATATAAGTGGTAATTAATTATGTTGGAAATGATTCACATATGAAAATATCAGAGGTGCGTGACCGATGATTTGAACTCGCTTCACTCTTTTCCAAGCGAACGCGTTACCACTGGGCTACCACTGTCTTTATTATAACCCGATTACGATAAAACTTTAATAAGTTGTTTCACGACTGCGATCTTTCATGTAGTACCATTAACGAACGATCGATGGCGTGCACGAGAAGTGACATTTTTAAGTAATTTATATGAGCGTGACTATCACTTTACACTTGTGTAAAGTCAAGGTCGCTAGTAAATTATAAAAATCTATTTCGTTCAAATAACAACTAAGTCTCATCTTCATGTAGGACGACCTTGTAATATCGTTAAGGTACGTTTGCAAGCAGTATAAAATATATAAACATGAATGTGTGCACAGCATCTCAGCTAAGATCTTGTCAACATGTTTATCTTAATTATTTAGATAATTGATTATGACGAGCAGGTTTACTACCGTATTTGACAAAGTTGCGTGATTTACATGGTTATACTTCAAATGTATTCATAGAGCTAGTAACTAAGCTAGTTATTTAAAAAAAATTAAAGCTAGTTATTAGCAAGCAAGTTAGTATTTAAAATAGCTTTTAAGTAGATAAACAGGTTTTAGACGATCCTGTAAACATTAGAATTGGTAGTTTAATCTAGACTCAATTCAATATATGAAACGACACTTTTGGTCTATTTATTCAGAAATAATAGTCTGGATCAAAAACTATGTTGACAATATATTCTGAAAACTTTTTTTTGAAGTTATACTTCTTTTGGCACATTTGGAACAAATATGAGAGTAAAATTTTTACGATGCTCGCGCATACCGACAGCCAAACATCGACATGATGAAGCTAGCTGAAAGCGAAATGGTGAAGTTAGCTGAAAGCGATGTGATGAAGTTAGATGCATTACTTTTACAAACAGATAGTTGTGACATACGGGATGAAATCTATAGCTATTTTTGTT